TGCACCAGCAACCCCAAGCCAGGTGGCAAGAGAGACCCCGAGCGATCTAGGCGACAAACTTTTACAGGGCAAAAACACAAGGGTTTCTATAGTGCACACAAGATGTGCTTTGGGGCCTCGGTTCCAGGTAACTGTTGATATCCATCAAAGGCCAAAGGCCAACGGTCAAAAGCAGGAAGGAGCGGCTTACAGAATGTACCTGTACGCACCCCTGGTAGGAATCTGGGGGAGGGTGGGGAGGGGGCCAGGGAATGCCCACAAAATGGAGCCCTTGGACAAGCAAGCCGTTTCCAACAAAAGGAGGGGGCAGGTCTACTTGGTGCCTGTGGGGGACATGATGGGTGACAGTCCTTTAGTAGGGGGCTCGGGGGCTCCTCTACCCATGCTGCGTCGGTGCTGCCTACCGGAAGAGCAGCCCAAGGAAGACCCCTGTAAGTCACTGCGGATGCTCGCTCCGGCTGGGAAGCGGGACGGCTCCAGCTGGGAAGCGGGATGGCTCCAGCAGAGGCCGACCCACCTGGCAGCCACTCAGAATGGGGGAGAGCAGAAGGTCCTTCCCCAGATTGGGAAACTGCCAGTTCACCTCTTCCCTGAATCCTGGGTCTTAAGATATGACAAGAGGCCCCCACTGCGATGCAAAGTTTTTCAATAAACATTGTGTCAAAGAGAAAAAAAAACACTCCTTTTATCACTGTTTTCCTTCATTATTCTAGTCTTTCATTATTTCTAGTCACTTTGGAGAGACTGCAGATTTATGACGAGGGCGATTCAACCAAGACCAGCTTCCTGAATGTTGCTCAAACGTCTGCCTACAGTAGCGAGCTGGCTTCCAGAACCCTGAAACCAGAGAACCCGCCTACACACAGCTCCCGAAACTACACGTTCTGTCTTTTCAGAGATGGTTTAACTGAGTGACGACTTCCTGAGTGGCCACGGTGTACTGGACGCCAGCGGACAAAGTCAGTGCTGTACCTTACTGCAGTTAATCCGCAACGGGGCCCCCTGGTGGCACAGGGGTTAAAGACAGCGCTAGTGAGCTGCCATCAGCCACTGTGCCACGAGTTCCGTCCCCCGCCAGGGAGCTGACCCACATGGCGCAGCAGACCTCTCCTGTCTCCCTGCTGCTCCCCTCAGCAGTGGATTTCAGTCCAGCCACCTGTTCTGCTCCTCACTCTGTCTCTGGTGAATCCTCTTGCCCCCTGCACCTCTGGCCTGCACCAGTTTTTGTATGCATAAATAATAAATCTTTTCCAAAATCCACAATGGACAAAGAGACCACTGCCTGTCCACTCCACAGGTGGGCAAACCGTGGCCACAAAGGGCTCACTTTTCCAGGGCATCGCTGGACTCAGCCTCGGGACTGGGGCACGGCACTCAGGAAACATGAGTCACCACTACTGAGGGCCTCAGCCTGAAGCCAGCTGTTGGCCAAACAGACCCTGTCACTGCCACCCCGTGTCTTTAGCTGCAAGGCCCATTGTGCCATTCCTTCCCACATCCTTCTGGTAAACTTATGATGTTATTTAAAGCCCACCCTAAACATTACCTCCATCATAAACACCTTCCTTTCTGAGATTAGAAACTGTAAAGCCAGAACAAGGGGAAAGAGAATCTGCTCACAACAAGGCCTGCCTGGTAATAATCTTCTAGAAAGAACCTCTGACACGAAGAAGTGATCTGGTGAAGTGGCTGCAAGAAAGCACAAACAGACACCACCTGACCACTTCCAGGGGCAAGGCTTAAGGCCTTTGTTTCTCCAGACCAGGGTCGGGGGGCGGGCAGGGAGGAAGAGACCAAACCCCTGGGTGGCCAGTCTGTGCCGGGCCGGCCGGCCATGTGCGCCCAGGGCCAAGCTGAGCCTCCCTGCAAAAAGCCTCCGCAGCAGCCTGCACCCACCTGGCCGAGGGGTCAGGATCGGCCAGACCCAGCCCTGGACAAGACAAGACACCACCACAGCTGAGTGGAGGCACCCAGGAGAAGAGAGGGGTGCGGGCTTATAACCAGCTGACAGAGGATGTTTGGGGCGGCAAACAAAAGAAACTCATTTCCATGAGCCTCATTTAATTTATATTTAGCCTCCTCATTCTCAGTAATTGAATGTATTATTTATTTTGGCCAGAAATTGCCGCGTGTGGCTTTTAGCACAACAATAATAGGCTTTTAAGGTTTAGCACCACAGCATTTAGAGACCCGGGTAAAAGTCACCAGATAAATTATTAAACAAGAAGTGGATGCCACATCGCTGCTCCACTGCAGGTGCCTCAAGTGAGGGTCGAGGCAGGTGAGGACCCCCCGCTCCCCTGTAGAGAGCGCCGATGGCAGGTGCGAGGGCCCTGGAATGTTCCGAGCTCTGGCACCTGCAGCAACCCGCTGCTCCCCTGCGGCCGGCAAAGCCAAACTCAGTGTCCCCGAGGTGGGGGCTACTGCTCCCTCACAGGCCAGAGCCAGCCCACAGGAGACTCAAGCATCTAACGCGCCACCTGACTTCATTTCACACACCCGCGGGTCTAGGCGGCGCTGGTGGCTTGCGGGCGACAGCTGTTCAATTTTGCTTGACTGTGTCTCTCGCTAACCCACACTCCTCGCCGGCAGGCACTAGGAGAAGCTCCCTGTTTACTGACACACGAGAGCAAGCGCCTGCTCTGCTGGGACCTGCAGTCTGTGGGGAGAGGGGGCACCAGACAAGAAACAGGACAGCAAGAAGTGCAGGGCGAGCACCTGAGTGCCGCGGGCAGGCGAGGGTGAGGAGCCTGGTGGGGAGCAGGGCGGAGGGGAGGTGCCGCCAGGCCAGCGGGCAGGGAAGCCCCTAACAAGGCCACTGGTCCATCCCTAGCCTGCTAAGAACAGCAAGCTCCTGGGGGCAAGACTGCTCCAGGGCGGGGAGCAGCGAGCACACTGGATACCGCGGCGCATCTTCACGCAGCAGAAAGGGCCGGCGTGGCTGCTGCGTGGTCTCAGCCCGGGACAGAGGCGCGCGGCGGGGGTCGCGGGTGGCCTCGCAGGCAAGGTGCTCGGTTTAACTGCAAGTGCCCCGAGAAGCTACTGGAGGTGCGGGAGTCTAGCGCAAATCAGGTGGACTTTGAGAAGGTTTCTGGACAATGATCAGGAAGGAAGGCGTCAGCGCCAGCAGGTCAGATGAGGAGCAGCCGTCCTAAGGCGCAGGGAGGCCGCCCCACCCAACCCAATGGGCCGGGGGTGCGCTGCGGTCCGGGCGCAGCTGTGATGCCAGGGGAGAGATGGGCGGGGAGGACACAATGGCCCCCCACCACATACTGCACCACAGAAACCCCCAAACTATTCACCGGACCTTCCTGGCTGCATTGCACATGTAGGCATCCTTGCCCCGTGCTTCTAAGGCCTTGGAAAATGGGACTTTTAGCAAAATAACATAGAACAAAACCAAATGAACCCTTGGCTGCCTGACAGAAACAAGAGGTAAGTTCCTACAGCAGATTTCTGGTTACAGAAACACCTCCACACTTCCAAATAAAGACCCAAAACACAGCTGATGTGAAGCCACTCCAGCCTGCTTATTCCAGTTCGGGGTGGTGGGGGCTTGGGTCTCCCTGCAGCTCAGGGGCCCACCCTGGACAGGACTCGCTTCCACAGCAGGGCCGCCACCCACACCTGCTCCCACCCAATGTGGCACTGAGACACCAGTGAGACTCACGTGCCTGGTGTTGGGATGCGGGGGGAGGTGCGACAGGAGAGGAGGTGCCACTCCCCACAGGGACCCCAGCTGCGTCTACAGCACCATCATCAATATTACAACGAAACAATGTTGAACTTACCATCATTCAAGACCTGTTGGCTCTCAGTGGAGAAAGGCCACGGTCTTGAGTGAGACAGGTGAGGGCTCAGTGACGCTAGCAGACTTGTTAGCCACTCCTGTCTCTGTTTCCTCACCTGGGAAGCCAGGCACCAACTACGGGAGCAGCCCCACCGGCTGCTGGGATGGCATGGAGACTTTACTAGCAAAGGGCTCGCTGCATAACAAGTGCTCCTGGAAGCACGGAGGCCCCGGACCCTGCACGCCCTGGCAGCATCCTGCACCGTGACCTCTGAGGGAGGGTTCTCATTCCAAGCACAGCAGGCAGGCCGGGAGCCAGGGCGTTGGTGGCGCAGAAGCAGCCCTCAGTCAAGGGCAGATGGGAGTCAGAGAAGGGCCCTCTTCTTGCCCCATGGACGGGGTATCACGTGGCTGCTGGCGGCCCCCCAGAGTCGGGAATGCTTCTCAGCTGCCCAGCAGCCAACCCATTGGGGCTCTCTTTGTGGCTTCCTTCCCTTCCCCATTTCACCTCCCCATCACCTGAATGGCACTTGTGGGGTGCACCCCCAAATCCCTCTCACTCACACCCCTCTCCCTGATGGCTTCTGTACTGACTACAGGAATGAGAATAAGCAGAATTTCCCCCTGAACAGCAAGCTGGAGGGGATTCACTCTGCTGACTAGTCTCCACTTGTGCGTCTCTGGGGTGTGAACACAAAACCACAAGAGTGAGAGTGCAGTCCTGATTTCCACAGCTCTCAGAGCGCTGGGCCCCACACATCTGAGCTACTTGACTTTCCTTGCAGGAAGGTCATCCATGTGTGTCTGAGGTGCTTCTACTAAAGAAACATTTAAAACTCACCGTTTAGTAATCACTTTCTTTTTTCTTCACCCTACATAGTACATTCAGTTACAGTTACACTCACACACACTCACACATACAATCACACTCATGCAGTCACTCAGTCACAGTCACAATCACAGTCACTCACAGTCACTCACAATCACACCCACACAGCCACACTCACACAGTCACTCACAGTCACAGACACACACACACACACACAGTCACTCACAATCACACCCGCAGTCACATCCAGTCACACACAGTTACTCACACAGTCTCACACACACAGTCACAGAGTCACACTCATACACACACACACACGCACACACACACACGGAGCACTGAGTCAGCTTCCCTGAGCAGGCAGGAGGGAGACGGGCTTACCTTGGGAGAGGCACTGGTTAGCCAAGGCCACCTGACCGGAATGCAGGTAAAGGTTGAGGCGGGTGAAGATCCCCACTAGGGAGGGGATGGTAATGAAGCAGTAGGCGACGCAGGCCTGGAAGAAAGGGGGAGCGCAGCGGTGACGCGGGCAATGGCACGCGGCAGACTGGTATCCTGTTCAGTCCACCCACCATGTGCTTCCATGTGGAAATGCTTCAGATGACCCATCTCCCCATGCTAAGCCCTCTTTCCCTCCTGCTCTGTCACAGGGGCAGGAGAGGGAAGTGAGGTGAGCGTGGCATGTGGAAAGAAAATCCTCAGCCATCATGGAAGGACGCAGAGGTGACACCCACACCCAAGACTTCAAAATATGAGTGGTTACTCAAACGGGGGGAGGGGAGCCTGAGGTGGTTCACTCTGAGGAGAGAGGTAAGAGGTCGGGAGAGGGTGAGGGTGCTTATTTTTCCCTGTGTGTTTTTGGCCTGATTTCTTTTTTAAAAAGATAAAGGTTTGAGCAGCATACAAGAAGCTGGATTTTTATTTTCAACATTGCAAACTTATCAAGAGGGGAAACGGCACCAGGCCTTGCATTTACTGGCACGGCAGAGACGATTCAGCTGGCCCAAAACTGCAAACCCATCTCTCAACTACCTCCCTGTAACATGTCTCAAAATTCACTCTTGATCCTTTCTTTGGAGAACATTAAGAAAATTAGTCCACAGATATGCAAGGAAAAGAGAATCTGGAAAATCAATACCAAACCACCGTATCGTGTCTTTTTCTGGGAAAAGCAATTTAGAAACTTGCAAACAAAACAACTCACTGGAGTTCAAAGTCCGTGAGCCTTATCTTTAGAACATACCCGAACAAATGCGGCTGTCTTTCTGGAATGATTTCCTTTCATTACTTTCCTTGTTTCCATTGCCAACCGGTTTACACTCTGGATTAATCAGTAAACAAAACAGAAATCATAGTAAAAAGGGTGGCTGGGTAACAACTTCCTTATAGGTGGGGACATGAACACCATACAAGTCAATGCGAAGAAACTCACTGAGACCGAGACTGGTCAGCACTGAACCCTGAACGGCGCAGGGGTCATCAGATCTGATTCCATCTCAGCTTGAGCAAACATCTCCAAGAGGGTGAGAACAAAGGCCCTCGGTGAGCTAGCCGTGCCTATCCACCACAGTATGAATGATTGTTTCTCTGGATTAATGAACAGCCAGGGTTCGCTCACTCTTTCCAGAAACCCCACCAAGAAGCTTACGAAGCTAGAGGTCTTGAGAGAAACTTCCCAGTCAGAAAGCAGATCACACCATGTAGCCGTGCAACCCTCGGTAATACCAGCAGCCCTGGCGTGGCTCACAGCTGGCCTGTTACTTCATTTAACCCCCAAATTCCTACAAGGTGGGTGCTATTTCCGCCCCAACTGACAGGTGAAGTCTCTATGGTCAAGCCTTAGTTTAATAATACTGCAGGGCTGACAGCCACATTTACTCTCCTTGAATTCCTCATGAAGCAATTACAGTCTCAGAAAACCTTTCCACAAATTTGCTAAGTTTGAACCTATGGTTCCCAAACTGATACCCCAGTGCTACCGTGATACATCAGGGTATCAGCAGAGCAGACTCAGAGGCTCCCCATTTTTCTAGGGAAGCACAGCAACACTTAGTTGTGTAACACTGCAAAGCACTGGTGTGAGGTCGTTTCAGATTCAACAGCTTTGAATCACAACCCATCGAACACATTCCATTTCTCGCAGTGCTAGCATATCTTTGTGAAGCTGAGTTTTCAAAGCAGCTGCGGTGATAAAATACAAGTACCATGCACAAACCCATGCACAAACTGATGGGGCGAAATATCCACATGGAAGAGGAAATAAAGGTGGTGGTGGTGTCCAACAGGGTTCCTGGGGGCAGACAGGGCATGCCCAAGAGGTAATGAGGGAAATTAAAAAAAAGAAATTGTTTCCCTCAATTTAGTGACATTGTCTCAAAGGGCTACAGTGTAACTATGGCATGAACACTTCAGTCCTTTGACATTGACTTCTTAATAAACACAACAGCTCCTTATGCCTCTTGGCCTGCAGGCACCGGGAAGTCACCACAAAGCACTGTGACCCATGAAGTCTGGACTCCACTATGCCGCAGGGCTCTGGGTCAGTATTTCTGTAACTAAATAATCAGTGCAATTTACTTAGCTTTTTCCCTGTCGGCACACAGGAATGAGAATATGCAAATTCAGAGGGGAAAAAAGGTCAAAAAAACCACCAGATTTAAGCAAAGCAGTTGCTTTGTTTGATCTCTGAGAAATCACTTTCCACATTTCTGGCAACCGAAGCAAGAAGGGGCTAGAAGAATCCTAGTTTAAAATTGAGGCTGATATAGATGGTCAATAAATGTAGACTCAGAGAAGCAAATGTGGAATAAAATTTCTTACGTGAATCAGTTGCACAAGAACAGGCTCCAGATTGCAAAACATGGACCTGGCCTCGACATAGAAACTCAGCTGCTGTTCAAAGTCACGGCCGAAGGAGACCTAGAATCCAGGAGAAAGAGCCTGACAATGTCATCTCTGTGTGGCTGGGAAGGTGTTGTGATGACAAGTCACCAAAAGTCCCAAAAACAGCAATGGGGAGAAATGTAAAGGGTACACAGACAGACAGACAGACAGACACACACACACGCATATACTCTAACCAGGTTTTACATCCAGCTATCATTTAATCATAACTATTACCATCTCATCTTAACAACATGTGCATTGGAATAGAATATAAACACCAAAGGATAAAAAACAGAATCTCCAGCTGGAAACAAGGATTCCCAAGCCCAGAAGGAAACCACTGCAGGGGTTCATGGAAGGCTGTATGTCCACTAGGGCCTCTCCACTAAACGTTGCGTTATTGGGGGCCGCTGGGTGAGAGGGTGAGAGCCACACCTTTCTGCTTCTTGGGGCATTTCAACCTCCACCGCTCGGGGGGACTGCTGAGCCTCAGAGGGAAGTTTCTCCACTGTTCAAAATCCTCTTTTCCTATTTCTTCAAATTTATGAACAGCTGGTTAGCAGGACAAACTTTACTGCTACAGTGGTGACCTCCTTGTCCTAGAGAGGCTTAACCTTGCTACTTCATGGTAGCTATCAGGTTTCACATCTTGTTTGCCATTATAACCCGGTGGCTTTCAGACCAGGTCCCAGAAGGCTCAGGGCCACGTGATCAGCATCAAGCCCAGGGCACGGGAGAGATACCTGGCAAAAGCCACAAGAACATTATCTGACGTGGGAAAGGCTTATCCTGAATTGTCTTCAAAGCTGCCATCCTGCCCACAGCCAGGTGAAAAGCTCCACTGACCGCCATCATGGAATGAGTCTCACTTTCAAGATGATTCCCAAAGTGGTCTAATAATTTCATCTTGGTCACCTTTTGTCCTGACATTTCTAGTGAAACAGAGGATGCTGGCGGCAGCTGGTGTTTCAGCACTAAGCACCAACGCCGGATGGCCATGCGGTTGGCTTCCAACGAGGGCAGCAGCGACCCCCGCCACGCGGCCTGTGTGTCTGCAGTGTCCCTCTGCAGGCGTCCCATCTAGCGGCAGCGGCTGCCCCCACCCTCCCAGGGATTGGCCCTGTGACTTGTCGTGGCCCATGCAGTGTGGCGGGACACAGCCCAGCTCACCATGCTCTATCTAACATGGCCTTAAGAGGCCCTGTGGCTTCTACTTGGACCCTCACCACCCACGAATTCAGCTGGGACACTGATGGTGAGAGGACCATGGAGAAAAAAAGAGGCCACGTGAACAAGGAAGGAGCCTGCCCAGACACAGGAGCAAGGCTGTCCTGGGCCCCCAGCCCGAACCCTGCTGAAGGAGCAGCCTGGTTACATTCTGACAGGACTGTAAGAATGAATAAAACCCGGGTATTTAAGGCCATGCATGAAGTTCTGGGGTGAGCTGATAGGCAGCGAAGGGCAGCAAACAGGGACAAGAACGGACCCTTAGAATTTTGTACCCCAGCATCATTTTACCCTCATCTGATGAGATACACATCAGGGGCTTCAGAGAGCCCCCTTTGTCCCCATTTTGGTGGCCCAGTTGTGCGTGTGTCCAGGGCTAGTGGCCAGCTGAGCATTCCTTCACTTCACAGCAGTAATTCCTTCTGGGATGGGCCGCCAACCAAAAGCAACCCCAAGACACCCAATCCCTGCAGGACCCTTCCCCTGGGGCAGCAGAGCTGCAGGGGTGGAAGCCTGGAGCCTGCCTGAGGGATGCCGAGAGACCACAGACACGCAGGCAACGCCAGAGACCCCAGGCCAGCTGCTCCTTCCCGGAACCCCACCCTGGACTCTTCGTCACAGGAGCCAATTAGGGCCCCCACCCTGTTTTATTTTTTCCTTCAGCCAGTTAGTTTGTCTTGGCGGCCTTTGCCCCCCGGGAGACTGCTGGCTAATAAAAGATGTTTTCTAATTTCATCTTATCTCAATAAAAATGAAAACACCAGAGATCCAAATGCTAGCTATTTTTACCAAAATAAAGATAAACAGTTACATCACATTTCCCAGTGCACGGCCACTTCTTCCCCAATACTTACCATTTTGATAAATCCATTAATCAAATATGCCAGCATTCTTTTCTCATCCTCAAGAGTGAGTGCACTAAAAAATAATTGTACGTAATTAACGTTGAGAAATTAAAACTTCTAAAGAAAAAAAAACACATAATAAGCAATGTTTCACAGGTAAAAACATCCTGCATTTTCTAGACTTAAAAAATTCCTTTTGCTGGAAATACGTAATCTACGTCAATAATTTAAGTGAGTTTCTCATCTCTCTCTAGATGCAGTTCTTGAGATATATTTAAGAGAAGGTAGCCTTCTCTGGCTTGGAATTTGGACAGCAAAGTCCAGCTGCAGATACTGTATACTTCAGAGGAAGTTGAGCTCAGCATTATCAAAAATTTCAGCAGAGTTGAAAGAACTTTACAGTAAGTACCACCCACACAGTCCCAGCGAGATCCTATCATTGTCACTTGACAACTGTTGCTTTTTCATGTTACCATCCAATTCCCTTTCCATCCGTCACTGCATTTTATTTTGGGGATTTATCTTAAAGGCAATCACAGATCTCAGTTGCTTTTATGTGATAGTAACTGCACGCAAATATAAATGAGAAAATTTCAAGTTCTAAGAGTTTCCATGATACATTTGAAAGTCTATAAATAGTTTCCCAGGTTTATTTTGGAACAATTTTATGAGTCCAGAAAAAATAAAGAATGAGGGTTCTTGTTTATTGTTTTGTTCTACATGAAAATTGGTCTTGGCAAAGCCTGTGTGCCCTCCCAAAAACTAACAGCCCCTGCAGTCTACATTTCCCAGCATCCTTTGCAACTGTCAGTATGGCAGTGCGGGCCTATGGGATGTGGATGCAGGTGATGCTGCCGTGTGAGCATTCCACGGTGCGTCCCCAGAAATCAGCCACTGTCCTCCAGTGGCCACAGGTGACAAATGGCCATGGTCCAGGGAAGCCACCTTCCACACGGACAACACCCAGAGGAATTTCAGAGCAACAAGCCACAGGGCCCTGGCCCCTGGGATGTGCTAACACACAGCTTCCCTTCCCCACATACTGGTCTCACACGTTTAGCAAGGCACAAATTTCCTATTTTACATAAGCCAAAAGCCAATATCTTACTCTAATACAAGTGCCTTCTCTGGATGCTTTTTGTGCTTTATTTCTATTTTTGTCGAACAAAGGTCTACCAGTTGCATTTAAGATAAGTCTCAGTATTTCAATTTTTACAACTAACCATGAAGTTGAAAGCATGAAGTCATGAAAAGAAAGACTGTAAAATTCAGAGGAAGAAAAAGAGAAAAATCATACAATTCCTTTGTTGACAGTTAAGTTCCAAAACAATTTTCCCAATTCTTATAACATCTTCCAGTAAACCAAGCTGCTTGTCCTTTGGAAACTAAAATTTTAGCCACAAATAAGCAGAAACTGATTTAAGTACAATCAGATGGAAACATGTTATAACAAAACAAAACAACTGAAAAACAGAATGAAAATCTGGCCTCTGATCCAAAGGTAAGGTTAGAGGGTGGGTCTGAGTCTCACACCTATTGATGAGCAAATACGGTTCTTGTGCAAGAAACATAAGTCATTTCATTTGAACTTCAAATAATTTGGCTAATAATGAGAAGAGAACGTAAAGACTCTTCTCATGGTAACTGGGTTGGGGAGCTCATTATTACAGTATCTGTTACTCTCAAAAAATCTCCAGGAGACGTGGAGTTTGAGTCCACTAAATGAAACCAGCCTTGTTCTCCAACAGCAATTTCTTTGTAAAAACATCTGCCATCTCATTTTCTCAGCCTCCCTCCTCTCCTGGAATGTCCTCGTTACCAAGAATCTTAATAGATCCCATAAAATAGTATTACTCCCAGTGGCAGCTTAAAGCAGTAACCCCGGGATGCAGGATTACATGGTATTAAGACTCCACCCATGTTACATTTCAGTCTTAAGACATGACTTACTTCACAGAGTCGTGCATGGTCTTGCAAATGTGCAAAAGGGCGTTCAGAATGACGGGATCCTTGGTGGGCTCCTGCTGATGCCTAGGAGACATTTAAAGGTAATGGCAAAAGCTATAGTCATTGACTGGCAAAAGTGTTCTCCATGGTACACAGCTGAGAGGCAGCAATTTATCTGGCTGGCATTTAATACGGCCCAGCCACTATAGGCCATGTTCTGGTTCTCTTTTAATTCTTCTTTAAATAACAAGTTTGCTCAACTACACATATTGTAACTTGGCCTAACTGCAAAATCTTGACAAAACTGCTACATTTCCTAAGCCAAGCAAAGGGCAAGGCTGTTTACTTATGTTTCTGGAACTTTCTGAAGCTATCTACAACTATGTTAGATGCCAGACAAAATTATTAATTGTTGGTTTTTCAAATAATATAAAAGGAAAAGCTCTTCTATTAATACAAGAAAAGCAGTATATTTGTTCTGAACACATGAAATTAATCTTTTTGAAAGATAACATAAGGACCATAAAACATTATATTCCAGTAACATCTGATTTGACTTTCCAAATCATATATTTGACCATCTATAGATTTAATATTTAAAGTAGCTTTACCTTTTGAACTTAACCTTGTCCTACAATATATGAAATGCCAATTAAATCCATTACATATCATCTAATTTACTTGAAAATAAATGTATAGCTTTTAAAATAAAAAAGTCATTCCTGGACCCTCCCTAGGAGCGCAACAAGTTAAAACACAGCACTGCAAGGTGGTTGCAGCTGCTTCAGTGCCTATTCAATTCCCGGCCCAGAAGCTGACCCACAGGGCACAGCAGACCTCTCCTGTATCCCCGCTGCTCCCCTCAGCAGTGTACTTTGTCGATCTGCCTGTTCTGCTCCCCACTATGTCTCTGGTGAATCCTCTCAGTGACCCAGCACCTCTGGCATGCACCCCAGTTCTGTGCATAAATAAATATTTTAAAAAAGCCATTCCTCCATGTTCCACCCGGAATTATTTCATGTACTACCTCTAGTGGGCAGTTCAGAAAAACAAAGATTTGACCAACAAAATGGAAGAAATTAATCTGAAGACTGGTGGTCATGTAAATAAAAAAGATGAAAACCTTTCTGACTCTGCTACTTCAATAGCATGATTTTATTTTTATCTTTTAAAATGCTGGCAGTTCATCACTAGAGCAACTCCTTTCAAAAATAGCTTGCAAAAAAAAAAAAAAAAATGCAGGTGTGAAGCTCCGTCAGGTTCATGCTGCTTTCCTTACCCTGTCATTTTAAATGCTGATGACAAACCCTCAATGGAGCTGCTCCTTTTAATGTGGTTTTCCTCTCAACATTATTTTAGGGATGAACAGCATGCGTGCCACTAGCCAAAAGCATAAAAACTGATTTACTAGCAACAAGCTTCATTCACAAAGGTGGTGGGAATCAACGTTTTCGGTTACAAAGTGTTTCACTTACTTTATGAAAACTTGCATGATGCATTTGCAAACATCCACCCGCACACTCTCTTTTTGGAACATGTCCAGAAATGGCAGAAATTTTTCCTAAAAATAAAAAAGCACTCTACTTGCAATTTACAGAAGTTACTGGAGAGGATACTACAGATAGTGTTTTTCTTCCAGTCTATGCGTATTATTTTTCCAAGTGCTGGTTAAAGTTGTAATGACATAAGTACTTAAGTTGTTGAAACCTAAACTACTTTATAAAAGGAGCTGTTAAAGTATTTATTTTGGCCTAGAGCACCATGAAAAAATTACTGAGACATTAAGGGACCTGTGACTCAGATACACATTTCCAAGATAATGAAGGCATGTTACTTACCACTGAGAAAAGCACCGAGAAGTCATGAAAGTGGGCAATCACTTTCTTAATGATTGACTGAAGCTGCAACATGAAACAACGCATACATCTTAGTAAGACTTGGATACTTTTAAAAAGGAAACGCTTTCATAATTTGCCATTGTAATTACATCCAGGACACCTGGACACTCACAGACAGGGGACAATGGGTTAGGTGACGCTGCTCTTGGGCTGAGCTCGCCCACCTAACTCCCTGTGACAAATGTCACAGGGACAGCAGAGCAGATTAAACAGAGTGATTCCTGGAAGATGCGTAGAGCAGTGCCTGCCTGTCAACATGTTTACGCATGTGAATGAGCCCTGGAGTCATCAAGGTGGCTCAGCTCTACCACAATGGCTTGAAAGCCACAGGCAACACAGAAGTGAATGGGAATTGCCGGGTTCTAATAAAACTTCATTCATAAACTGAGCTGTCGGGAGCACACATTATGGTCATGAGGGAGCGACATGGCAAACATGAACAACTGGGAAATCCGGGTGAAGAACAGGCATTCTCTCAACGTTCCATTACGCTTTACTTCTGAATAAACTGAGAAAACATAAGCACCTGTTTATTGATCTAAGTCACATCTCCCGCAGCCTCACAACCACTGTAGCAAGGAGTGGGGGGGTGGGGGGGCGGAGCAGGCTCCTCGTAGGCCTGTTTCACAGGTGAGAAAACTGAGGCCCAGCAAAGATTAAGGGACTGACTGAAGGGCACACAGCTGAGACACGGTGGAGATGGATTCAACCCTGGGACAAACCAACCTCACAGCCTGACCCATGCGACACCCACCCCTCCTTTAATCCACCAGGTAAAATGCCCCAGAGTACAGACACAAACCTATTACCTGTGGGTAGGAGTCTTCAAAGGCACGATCTGGAGTCATGTGCTTGATGACATCTGCCAACACCGTATTCACCTCTCGCTTCTACGTGGGGAAAATAAGTCACACTTGTAGCACACACTGCACAGCAGTCATGGCTTTTTTCTGGCGCAAAGGACTAACATTTTTAGGAGGCATCACACACCTTTCAGGAACACCTTCCAAAGAGAAATCACACCTATAGCCCAGCTCTAAAGATGGTCTGTGATGGCTGTGTCCACGCCAAGTCCAGACTAACACACAGTTCTAGAAGGTTCCCGGGTGTTAGCTTGCCCATTTTCCCTGAGTGCTGATAAAGTGGGCTGTATCCCAGGCCCCTCACCAGGGAGAACAGTGAGGCATCAAGGCTCTCTGGGCAAAGCAGAGATGCCCCACTTCCTGATGTGTGTTCTGAAGCTGCCAACCACAGCCCAACTCCAGGCCAGTGCCTGCTTATACGGCCTCAACTCTGAGAATGAGTCACACTCAAACTAGAAGGAATAACGTTTCTTGATAGCAAGAGCTGTATGCGATTCACTTGCCAGTGACATAATGTGCCCTGGCACACAGCCATGCCCACGCACTCTCTCTGGCTGTTCCCGCGCTCCCACGGTGGGGCTGGGCACTGGTGCCAGAGATCACACAGCCCAACATAATACAGATACTTGCTATCTGGCCTTCTAGAGAAAAAGCCTACATGCCAGGCACAATGAAGCCTCCTGGCACACAGCACGTGTCAAGTGCCCAGCTGCCATCACGTGTACTCTCTTGCCTGGCACTTACAAGACGGCCCAGCATGGGCATCACTGTCCATTTGTACAGATGAGACAGAGGCTGAGAGAAGTTAAATGACTTAGCCAGGGTGACACGGAGGCTTTTTTTTTTTTTTTTTGCTTTTTAAGTCTGCCAGTAGCATTAGACGAGTCAATGCTCCTTCTGAATCAGGGCTAAGAATTAGGCAAAGGGGCTGGAACACTTTCCAGCAAGGAAAGCACTGAAGACCCTGAAGAGGCTCGGAAGCCCAGCTGGGAAGCACGTGATGGACACTGGGCCACCAAGCACCACGAGCTCAGTCTCACTGCAGTGGGTCAAAACAGATAAATCCAAGCCCTCAAGTCTCTAAAGATACAAACAGCCAGTGTTACTCAGGTCACTTTTGGGGGTGCTGGGGAACCGAATCCTTATTTTTTTTTTTAAGATTTATTTATTTATTCATATAGAACTGGGGTACAGGCCAGAGATGCGGAGGGTGAGAGGATTCACCAGGGACAGAGTGGGGAGCAGAACAGGCAGATCGACGAAGTACACTGCTGAGGGGAGCAGCGGGCGGGCCAGCAGAGGTCTGCCTCGCCATGTGGTCACCTCCGGGGCAGGCGGGAATCGAACTCATGCAGAAGTGGCTTAAGCTTCTTAGTGCTGTGCTTTAACCCGCTGCGCCACCAGGGAGGGCCCGAATCCTTATTCTAAGAACTAGTAAATAACAGGGACAACTGAACATCAGTACTATGCTTCTGTACAAGCTATTCTTTGGGGTAACCAAGCCCCGAAAAGAGGAGCTACCCTTTATGCACGGATCACAGCTAACAATAAAGAAGAAATGACAATAACTGCCAACCTCAACCCTGGGCAAACTCTTACAAACCATGAGGTGCCACCACCCACAGCCCCTTGAGTCTTCAGAAATAGTCTCTGTTCTGTGACAGCCTTGTTTTCTGGTTTTTCCCACACTGGGTTCTGGTTGGGGCCAGTGTCTTTGTTTGCTTGGGAAAAAAGTACATGCAGGTCACAAATGTTTGGGAAATGCTGCTTCCAGACACCTCTGGAAAGTCACAGTGTACTGTAGCACGTAGGTATCTCAGACACCCTTGTGGGAAAAATCCATTCATTTCCCAAGTTAAATACGAATGCAGAATGCTGCTGTTATCTATAGCACATATATCAAGGATCCATCGCACTGTGTAGAAAGGAAGTTTTTTTTTTTTTTTACTTCAGGCCAATGACCACTGTAAAATGCCTACAAGCCAAGCTAGTCCTATTCGCTATCACAAGCACAGGAAAATGTACATTCCTTTCAAAAAAAAATCCCAGTCACACGTACCGTAAAATGCTTGCAGGTGTATTCTACCCACACTTCGGCACAATTCACATACTCCTACAAAGAAAAGGGTAAAAATACCTTTACAATAAGACACAGGGTTGATCTCAGGGCAAAAGCTCATCAGGTGCCAAACCCTTCGAGGGCTCTGACATTTAAGAGTGACAGGAATTTCCAGAGTGGCTCAGCTATACAACAATCTGGCCCACTGACACAGCTAACGCTCAAAAGTGAGTTATGAAGAAACCTAAGTGGCTTCACCGAATTAGACTTTCATTCTGTACCTGATACTCGGGCTGAGACAGAAATCTGGGTGGCACTGCCATGCCAGGATATGCCAAGAATCAAAGGGACATGGTGAGGACGCTGGGAAGCCTCACTCCACCTTAGCAGAGAAGCTGACATACAGCTGGTGGAAGCTCCAGCTTGCCTACAGTGTGGCTTTTGCATGTTCTGGAAAAGGAAAAAAAAGTTTACTGCCCTAAAAATAAAATCTTGCCCTACAGAGGGGTGAAGTGTATGTGCTATGAAAATGTTAGCAAGCACAAAGGTTTCAGGTAAGAAACTGTTTGATTCAAGCAGGAGGAGGTGGGGAGGCAGGTTAGACAATGAGATAGCGTGGAATTCATAGTGACTTAGGGCTAAGCCGAAAAATGGCCAGGGAAAAACAGAGTCTGCAAGTGTGCCTCTTGTGTCAACACTTGGGGTGAGAAAGACGAAATGGAAGGGAAAAAAAAGTTACTGCATTCACACAAAAGCCAGGACTACTCTTAGGTCAAACTGGAATGCTAAGAGGGTAAACTGAGGAAGGTGAGTGTGAAGTCAACGACTGGAGAAGACTGTTTACACAGGCTTTCGATGAAAGGATACTTTTACCCACTGATGGTACTGGGCCTCACAGTTGCACGTTATCCTAACTACTTATCCTAAATAAGCAGTTTCAGTTAGCCAATCAGCGTTAACTAAGTAGAGCATTTCAACAGCTGAAGTTTAGTGGGGAATTTGCTACCTGTAAGTTAGGTACACAATTTCGTAAATAAGTTTCTAGGTTTTCAAAAGTGTACCACTGTCCTTCACGTATTATTAAAAAGTGTGGTGACTAGCAAGGGTTTATCATTGAGCTCATTTTAACAGCCCCTTCTTGATAAAAAATGATTGTATCAGATGTTAAGTTATCAATATTCAGATATTAGCTGTGTTAGGATGGAATGTTTGTGTCCCCACAAGATGCATAAGCTGGAATCCCAGTTCCCAACATGAAGGTGTTAGGAGGTGGGGTCTCTGGGAGGTGAGTAGGTCACAAGGATGACGGCCTCAAGAATGAGATTAGCACCCTTAGAAAAGGGGTGCCATTCAGCTCTCTTGTTCTTTCCCTTCCATGGCAGAAGCTGGCAGCCCGCAACCCAGAAGGGGCCCTCATCTGAATTCGACCACGCTGGCTTCTGTACTGCACTTCTAGCCACCAGAACAGCGAGTAACAAGCGTCTGTTGTTTAAAAGATGCCCAGTGTGTGGTATTGTTACGGCCACTTGAACTAAGACACCTTTGAATGTTTCAAATATTTGTCATGGCCTCAAGATGAAGATGTACTTCAGCTACGAAAATTTTAACATACACCTTTAATCAGTTCTTCATTATAAGTTAATATGGAATTTTCAAAAGTAGTATTATTGGGTTGAGAGGTTAGTATTATTTTTTTTTTTAAGAAAGAACATACAGCAAAGCTTGTACAAAACAGTCGAGCTAAGGTCCAAATGTCACCCACCTGTGGGTTCTTCAGTTTCGTGATAACTTTCCAAGCTTCATTGAGAATCTGAAGTCGGTCCCCCTCAGGAGGATCAGCCAGGGCCAACTTCAACCCCAGTGAGCGAAAAAGAAGATGCTGAGGGAAACATCAATCCATTATCACACTGGAGACTTGACAGAGTAATGTGAGGCTTAAAGAGTAAGTCACAACATTTGGTTCACCTCAGTTAGGGTTGATTTGCCAACCACCTTTCTGAAGTTCTACCACAGACCTATGCTGGTCAGACTGAGACACTCAGGACACAGCTGCTTTGTGTACTGGCCTAATTTGTGAGCCACACCTTTCCATAAATAATGAGTGAAAATACATTTCTAAATACATTTCTAAAGAGCAAAGTCTTTCCCAAACACTTCCCGGTGAGCTGACAGACGGACGAACAGAGCACTCATGGCGTCCCCTGTGTCTGACAGTGCCTTCCATTGTGTTTTCTAGAGACAGGGCTTTTGCTCACTCTCTGTTGTCTCAAGCAACCCCAGCGCTAGACTCTCCCTCCACAGTGACAGGCAGAAATGCTGCCTGTTTGCCCACCCACCTGAGCATGATGGCTGGAGCCTACCTTGGGGAAGCCAGACTCATCACACTCCTTAATCATGGCGATGAAACCCATGGACCTTGTGGCAATGAACTCGGCCTGGAAAGCTGACATCACAGAGTTCAACAGCAACGCACTGCAACACACACAGACCACGTCAGTAGGGCTTCACCTTAATCAGCGTCGCTTTACTTTCGGATCCGAGTTGCTAGGAAGGATGACTGACAGCCCTTTATTGGTAAGGCTGGGGAAATTTTTTTAAACAGACAACCTCTAGAGACTAATATAATGTTTTGTGCACATTTGGAACTTAATAAATGTTGAACTGACTGGATGAGTGAATGGCTGGCTGGATGTATGGACAGGTAAATAAGCAAGCAAGTGATCAAATCCACTTAAAAAGAGGTGGATTTTTGAAGGCTTTCAAAAGGCTGGTGCACTGATGAAAGGAAACATTAAACAATGATATTGATCCAAGTCACAAAAATACACGCCCGTGCATTATGAAAAGCACCATTTAAGATATAGAACATGACGATGCTGGGGCACAACAAACCCAGCCCAGGCTGTTTACACCCTACGATGGGAAGGAGAGCAAGGGATAAGCTTGTGTGTCTGGGAATCAGGAAGATCAGGTTCTTCCTGGCCCAATAACTTATCACAGCCCCACGGGAGAGGGAAATATTTCTGTACCCATTTTACAGAAGGGAGACTGAGGCACAGAGGGGTCAGATTATTGACCCAACATCCCAAAGCTAAAAAAGCAGAGTCAAGATCTGAAGTCACACCCTCCTGCCTTCCTGCTGGCCCATTCCGCTCGCCCAGCGGAAACAAAGCAGCCAACTGCATTTCCAGACGCCTGCTTGATGAACTTTAAAAATACTTACTTGTTTCCTAGTTTCTTGCATCTCTCCATCATCTCAGTTAGCAGGGCCTAATGAAGTTAAAAAATATAATAAAAACCATCATGTTGGAGAACCTAAAGCAAGATTTCTCACCAAGAAATTTCTCTAGTAACAATAAATGTATTGGATGGGGCCCTGGGTTCAAATCCAGCCTCACCAACTTCAACACGAAAACCCTGGGCAGAAACCATCCTCTGTGACCTGGCTTCCTTGCTCTTCAGCAGATGACCCAGGCAACACCACCAGCAGGTGGGCCAGAGGGTGCCATGGCCACGATGGTCTCACAGCCAGCAGAGGCAGAGGTAGGCTCTCCCTCTTCCACTCCAGAGGAAAAACCAAGCCCCAGGACAATGGTGTGCCATGACAGGTGACAGGGCTGGCTGCATCGTGCTGGCGTGCTAGGCCAGTCTGGTGTCAAAAGCCACACTCTGCACCACATCTCCTCTCTTATTTTAAAGCACATTTTCTCCCCAAAGGAAGTGTTTTACTCATGGAATACTGTTAATGGCTTCAGAACTCTGAAGACAATTATCTTGAAAAGAGCTCCTGTTTAAAAAAAAAATCAATGGAAGAGGTTTCACTTCGGGCAGTGGTCTGGGGAAGGTTCTGAGTGGCCCAGACAAGGTCAACCCTGAGACTAAAGGTCACCAACAGCAGCCTGGATCCCAAGTGGTCCCGGTGGCCCAGGTTGGGCTACACGGCTTCCTCACTGACTCTTCACGACAGCCCGGGAGGCCCTGGGAAATGACCCCTCCCCAGCGCAGTCCTGTGGAGTTTAAAGGTGAAGTCATTCCTGAAGGCCGATACCAATGCAGTCTGTGGAATGAAAGGCTGAGAAAGGTCTTCTGTAAGGATTACACATGTGCTCCGGGGCTCGCACGAGTAATCACCACTCAGCATCCACCCATGGAACAACTCGTGTGCCAGCCACCCACTGGGCGCAGGGCACAAGGCCACATGGCAGAGGACAGCAGGCTGAAACCCTGCCCTGAGGTGGCCCATTCTTTCTTGTACACAGGCCGGATACACACACATGCACTCACGCCAGGGAGACGTCTCGGCCCACCACTCCTGCAAAGAGGAACCAGCGCAAATGCCAACATATGGACAGAACATTCTGACTATTAAGACAAATGTTCTCTTTAAAGTCTTCTTTTCCACAAGAGAAGAATGCATTCAAAAGGCACCCAAGGAAGTAATTTTGTTTTAAAAGTTCTCTTGCAATTAGGACTGTAGGAATACCCTTAAGTGTCCCGGGAGCCAAATGTTATGGATCCCAGGGAGGACTGTTGAGGTTATTAATTTTTGTTTTTCCTGAGAAGAGACAGGACTGATTATTTTTGGCAAGAACAAGAACAACAGTTCAAACCAGACTGAGATCGAAACAAGCCTGCTGGCCAAGTGAGGCCAGCAGACCATTGAAAACTTGCAGCTCAGCAAGTTTGCGGACACACGTCAGAAGCTGAAGATCCATAAAAGGACCCCTGAAGATTCGCAAGGACCCCAACAGTTCCCTTATCCGTATAATTTTTTACTAAAAATTTTGTTGGAATTAGGAACTATTTCTAGTAGATAATTTTTGCTAAAAATATGAGTAAGAAATGTTGACTGACAACATTGTTGTGAATAAAAGTGTTATCATCCTCCCTCCCACCTCCAGCTCCCTATACGGGCTCCCAGAGCCAATATCCTGAGGTTTATCATTCTGGAGATCCTGTCCCCTGGGCATAGACAGTTTCTGTTACTGACTTCATTTTTTTACAAAACGGACAGTGTGGTTTGCACTAGTGTGACTTTATTTAAGACATCCAGCAGGGCCTTCCTCCCCTCTAAGCCAGCACACACATCCACCTCATTCTTTTCACTACCGAGGGACCCACACCCTGGACTTGGCACTTCTGTTATTATGAACACCATTGTTCAAACTGTCCCAGACTGATGAAGTTTTCAAAATGTTTTATCTTGAACCAATTATAGACTCCTAAGAAAGTGCATAAATAGATGTCCTGCCGGCCATTACCCAGCTCCCCCCAGGGGGAACACCTGAAACTTACATAATGTTTCAATGCAATGTGACTTCCAGAAGAAAGACATTAACTGAAAAAATGCAACTCACTGGAAAGAATTTACAAATGCAAAGTTAAAAGGGGAAAAGAGAGTCCCCTAAAATCCTGCCAACCACAGCTGGCCAGTGCTGACACTGTGGAGCATTCCCCTTCTGCTGTATTTCGCTCCCTGCTTTCACTCTCTGTCCCTGTATGACTCTACGGTGCTTTTCCTCGCTGAACACTATAATCCATACCTGTTGATACGAGCGTCTGTGACCCTGAGCCACTCCAGGAAGGGTTTGGAAGGTGTGGTGGGTCTGGTGGGAGTGAAGAGGGGACCAAGGAGTGCCAAAGATGCTGCTAAGCTTTTGAGACCCAAGTACCTCTCTGAGGCTCCTTCTGTGCCAGCTCTGAGTCGGTGCCTTTGTGTGAGTCATTCTGCTAACTTCTCGGAGAGTCCTGGTCTGCCTGCTGCTACCATTCCCATTTTACAGATGAAGCAGCTGAGGCTTCCAACTCGCTCAGGTCATCACAGTCAAAAAATGGCAAACCACATTGCTACATCAGTGTAAACCCTGAAGTCTTTCTAGATATTTCGTGCAATTGCTACACTTGAAGTGGGACTTAGAGGCTCTGACTGACTCTTGGGACGGGGGACGGCTGCTCCAAGTCACACTATAAATTGCACTTCAAACAGCCTACAACACAATGAGGTTAATAACGCGTACTGAAGACTGGCCTTGGCCCAGGTTAAGGCCCCTCAGGCAAACAGGTGTTATTACCAGTCTGAGTTAGGAAAACTCCCTGGTGAAATAGAAATAATGTGAGAAATTAAAAATTTCTCCTTCTACTGCCTAAGGTAAAGAATTCCTTTTCACTGAATATTTGAAAAACGAATTTTTTTTTAGATTTGAGCACATTAACTCTGGACTGGGGTAAGCAGTCTTAGTGTCTAACATTAGTTTGTGGCTTTGCCTGTCCTTTACATTTATAAAAATAACAAGGGAAATCTGCTAGCACGCAGGTAATTCTCATTTCAATGTAACAGCATCCGTAATATGTATAAATCATGGCAATATTCATAAACACTGACTGGAAATTTGTTTAGTAAAAACAGAAGTATCACCTTGGTGTAGAAAACACAGCTATGCTCCCCAACTCCTTTTTCCTATACTTCTGAAGTGGGTATATGACTCTAAGCTGGAGATAACCTTGAAAAGCCACAGGTAAATAAGTATATTTTAAAAATGAGTAAGACCAAAATTAACAGTGCTTATACAAATCCACATTTTAATGAAATGCCACGAAGACAAATGTTTCCCCTTTTATAAAGAGCACGAGTGAAACAGCCTAACTGCTAATTTCTGGACAATGCATAATATTAAAAGAAAACAGCAAAATCTCAACACTGACCAGTTGCGAGTGGAGGACTTTAGGGGCTATTTTTGTCCTTTTAACCTGCCCACCCCATCACCATGTATACCACATATAGTTAAGTACTAAAAGTCCAAATCTTGTCCATACCAGTTAATATGCACTTTTATTAATAGCTGTTTTCTGAATATAAAATCCTCTCCTATTCATTCTGTCTCTTGTTTTTCCACAGCTACCAGCTGCTCTGCCTCTCTCTAATCCATCTGCTATGCTCTGTCAGTGGGATTTTCAAGCACTGCATTTTTCAAACCATCTCTCTGATCAAAAAGTGGCTGTTCCATGATGCAAGTTCAACCAGCACTGCGGCCTGGCCCCACATGTCCTGTTCCCCACTCCCACGCAGCCTAACGTCTCAACTCTTGTCTCCTAGAAGGCATCTTACCTACCTCTGTCGGTATCGACCTAGCAGGTTCTTTCCTGGCCCCTTTCTTCGCTATCCCCTCCCCATCTGTCCCCTGGCCTTCAGTCAGTCTAGACCCCTCCACTTCAACGAATGTGTTGATGAGTCTGACCAAACAGAGTGATGGCAGCCACCCCCATCCGTCTGGTGCCAAGCAGGCGGGGCCCTCGGCCAGGTACTGATGTGCACGGTCACAATCTATCTCTGGTCTCCTTTTGCAGCTACTAGAAAGGGGCCCACAGAGGCCAGGCGGTGCAAGCATCAGCCTTCTGGCCCGGGCTCCTCCGAGGCACCGTCTCCTTCACCACACACAGGTGCGCTGCACCTCTTAGCAGGGGACGCAAGCAATTCCACCCCAGACCAGACTCCTGAAGCTGGGGGCAGGCCTCTTTGGTTTTCTGCTCCCACACACCCCCAACAAAAAGCCACTGGAAACAAAGAGAAGCTTATCAGAGAATTTCTTTTCCCGGCCCCAAGCAGGTTTTACAAAAACAGTGGCTTTTTTTTTTTTTTCTGTGTAGTTTAGGCCTGAAAGAAGGGACGTAAATCTGTTTCTCACTGTAATTTCAACTAAATTCTGTGTTCAAACAAAAGAGCCTTTCTGAATAACCAGCCCTGATTCGGGAGCTGGGCAGCGGAAGAATTTTGGTTTTCAATTTTGACTTGAAATTTCCTAAGGCAGATGAGCCTGGCAGAAGGCTCGTGTCCTTCTGCTCTACCACGCTTGCCTGCCCTGTGACTTACCAGCTGGCACAACTAAGCCAGTCAGCCCTCCCTTAGCGAAGCTCGGCCTCTCTGAGACACACTCAGCTCGGGTACCACAAGTGACTCGGCCCCACTGGCAAGCAGCTTTCAGCGTCATTTCCACCCCGTGTGTTAGCATCACGCACATTAACCTTCCATGCTGGCATCAATTCTTCTGTCTCTTAAAAATGATTAATTTTCTTTCAACAAGCCACGGTGAGTTCCTTATTTAAGTGCCCGAAGAATAATCAGAGTTTATTATTATTCAGGTGACCTAAATCTTTTTAATCAATCCTTCTAGCACAATAACGATTTCCTAGAGTTTTACTCCCAAAGCTCTATTCCCCTCTTTTCCCATCCTTTGAGATTACTAGTGCTTAAAATAAAAAAGAAGAATGACTTATAGCATGTACCTTTTGTTTAGAATCCAATTTTGCCTTTCATTAAAATAAGGATTAAAAAAAATAATAATAAGTGTGCTCATTTTCAAACCACTCGGTCCTGCCTAGCTACTTCAGCCACTCAGCTGTCTGCAGCCCTCGTCGGCCCGTGGGGCTGAGGCTGCCGAAGAGCAGAGAGGCCAGCCAACCTCCCAACAAGCTTCCACTTACTAGCCTGCTTTAAAATCAATTTGCTTACTGGTCAGAAATGAACCTGGACATACAAGATGTCTCTATTATCCTCTGACTCTGACATTTGGAAAAACAAAAATATAAGCAACACATTAAGCTTGCTGAAAAGTTAGAAAAAGAGGCCAAAGCATAAGATGTCAACGTCGCTCTGGCGGTTAGTTTGCCCCCTCTCCTCCCCGGTGCTCGCAGGGCCACCCTGGACTCGCGTCCGCGACCAGCAACACGTGGGCACCCCGCTACGCACTGCATAGTCACGCCGGACCCACGCGTAGGCTGGCACACTGAGTTATTGCTCCCGCTGGCTGGATGAGGAAGGAAGGTCGCCAGGGGTTAGAGACACTGCCCTCGGCTGGGTCCTGACAGCTGCAAGCAACAGAAACCCAGCTGCAACACCCGACTCCGGAGCCCACACCTGAACTCGGACCACACAACTGCTTGGGACACACGCACAGCAATGTGTGTGACCTCCGTTTTCCCTCAGCACCACTCCAGGGTACCCTAGGTCAGGATGTCCGGACATTCCTGGGTCACCGCTTTCCAGTGGCCCCATAACATCCCACTGGCATCACACACCATCACGTGGCTGATCCCTTTTCTGCGGGTCGACTCCAACTTCACACTGGCACAAGCAAACTTACACACGAGTGTGTGGAAGTGAGATTGTTCGTGCATTCATCTCAAAAGATGGACTGCTTGGAACAAATTGTGTCCTTTTCTTCTCTTTCTTCAGGGTTTTCAAAATCTGTTGGCAGCTTCGAAGAGAAGGCAGGTGTATCTGAGCTTTGCTTTGGTCTGTATCTCTCGCTTTTAGCAAGGCCCCTTTCGCTCTTTCCCACAGAACAAATTCTCAACCACCCAAAGGGAGACAAGAGATGCTTCATTGATCAGTTATAGGACAATTTGAACAGGTAGTTCCACTGAAACAGCTTCTCAAACTTGGGGAAGGGGAAAAAAAGTATTTTTACTTTGCTTCTGACTTCACTTTAATTCCTAACAACTCTTCTACTGAAGACAAAGAAAGAACATCTTATAAAAGCAATCACACCGCCTCATCTCACTTTCCTCCTCGAAGATGGGAAAACGTTACATGCTCTGCTGACTCTTATGAGCGCATCACGATGCATGGATGGCGCGAGTGAAGGTTAGTGAAGATGCAACGAAACCCAGAGTGAGATCCAGGTGTCCAGTCACCATCGCGTTCTAGCTGTGTGACCTCATCTAGATATTTCCTCTCTGAGCCTCCACATATTCCTCCCAGAGTTGTTAAGTGAGACAATCTAGGAAGAGGCCAGAGCACAGAACCAGACTCAACAGGAACCCGTGACAAAGGCTGGCAGGAGGCGCGAGATTGCTGCACTGGAAGGGCCCGCTAGGCTGGAGACATAGAGGCGTTAGCTACTGATAACATCCCACACCACACAGTGCAATGTTCCCACCTCCGTGGCGCCATCACACTGAAGCCACCTGGCAGTTACCTCAGGGGCATGGTAAGAGATGCATTGGAAGATCCAGTCCATGGCAGGCGAGTATAAGGGGAGGTAAGATGGAAGTTCCACGCCCTGGACCACCAGCTGGTTCTGCACCGTATCCCCATGAATCTACGGGAGACCAAATAAACAGAAAGGAAGGGAGAAGTCATGTAATACACCAAGAGCATGTCACTCGCACACTGTACAGACGTGGAAGCATCTGGACGGTCCCAAGAGCTGAAGCCTCGTTTCTCAGGTTCTTTTACACTAGAAAAAACATGCTGGGAGAGTTTCCCACATCACCAAGCTGAGCTGTCTGGGCCATGTGAGCAGTGGAAGGAAGGAAGCTGGAGAAAACGGAGCTGGCAGATGCCACAGAGAAAGGCAGGTCAACGGGAGGCATTTCCTGTTATCACAGGCGTAGTAATTCTCCCGACTGGTTCAGGACAATCAACACATTTTAACTGCGTGCAACAGACGCCAGTGCAATTTTCTAGGGTTTACACATTTTCAGGCAAATCGCAAGTTGGGAAATCAACTAGTTTTGTCAATTCGTGAAGCTGTAACTGTTGTACCAATTAGCTGCTCTGGTCACGTTCTCTTACCTGTTTGAGTGTAAGGAGGAAATCAAAAAAGTTCTTATTAAGGCTTTCTTTGAGATGTGGGGCAACTTCCATTCCCACCTACAACGAAACAGAGACGTTACTTTGACTGTGCACAAGCCGGAGGTGGAGAATATGCCCCAATGACGCCAGGTTTGTAAATTAAGATCGAGCCGTAGAGGAGTCCAAAAAGTTCACTTGTATTCTTTTAGCTTATCTATGTTCTCATTCCATAAGCCTATACTGCTTTTATAAGGAAAACCACAGACGCTATTTTTAATGAAAAAAGGACAGCATTTGCAGTAATCATCTTTCCAATTTCCCAAAGGTAATAAATGTATTTCTGAACAGATGACCAAGAGAACAAATCAATACAGTACTCAGGGGAATGGCCTCTCAAGACAGTGTGTACAACATTCTCTTCCTCTCTAAAAAATGATACACACACACGGGACTGAACTTATTAAGTCTGGGTCCAAGAAGCAAGAAGATTCTAGTACGTAAGAGTCAGCTGGGCCTCGCTGCTATATTGTTCAAATACACATTCCTTCTGTGCTGGGCAGTCGGGAAGCACACACAAAATTTCATGTATTTCAATTTTATAGAAGACCAGCAGACAGTGTATCAACGCTATAATCCAATGGCCACAGTTGTGGTTTAAAAAGCAGACTGCAACATTTCCAGATGAAAAAATGTGTTCATCAGAGAGGTGGCCAGAGCCCTGAGGTTGGATAGAAAAATGAAGGTAGGAGCGACGGAGGGGAGCGCGTGTGTTTACAATTGAGCCTTGGAGCTCCTGACACCCCAATCCTCAGCCACAGCGATGCCCAATTACACACACCAGTGTGGAAGCAATTTTGGAAGGGAAGTGACTTTTCTGGGACATGTCTTCTTCAAATGGGGACACCGTTCAGCCATTCACCTCTTCCCCACCCAGAGGTCATGAAGACTAATGGTAATCCTGTTTTTGAGATGACTGTGAAGAACTCCTTTAAGAATTACGTGAGAAGAGGCCCTCCCTGGTGGTGCAGCGGGTTAAAGCACTGAACTAAGAAGCTTAAGCCACTTCCGCATGAGTTCGATTCCCGCCTGCCCCGGAGGAGACCACATGGCGCGGCAGACCTCTCCTGACCCGCCTGCTGCTCTCCTCAGCAGTGTACTCTGTCCATCTGCCTATTCTGCTCCCCTCTCTGTCCCTGGTGAAGCCTCTCACCCTCCACATCTCTGGCCTGTACCCCAGTTGTGTATGAATAAATAAAAATCTTAAAAAAAATAGAATTATGTGAAAAGAATTTAATGTCTCCAGGACAATGTATCACAGGGACAGCACTATCACTGCTGGGTCTGTTTCCAAGAACAAGCACATAGATTAAAACAATACTAACCACGAGTGTCAGATCCAGATCTCCTGCGGACGGATCTATTGTCTCCCCTTCCACTTAATCATATTGTGGAAAAGGCATTAATTATCTGGTAGGTGGCAGCAAAGACAGGCCCAGTGGACAAGCAGTGGAGATGAGCTGAAGGGGCTTGACTTAGAAGAGGCGTTAATCATACTTTCCTTTAATAAACAGCTGTGAGATCCCCCCACGCCCTGCCCACTCACAGCTTTGTGTTTTGTTTATCTCTTCCCATGAAGCCAAATGAGCAGTTTGGAAATCTGCTTGGGTCAAAATATTCTACCCAGAGAGCAAGGCGAGTTGTTTGTGATTTCTGTCTGCCTGGCACCCATTCCCTGTTCTTGTCATCAGCAAACTGGGTTTGCTGTTGGAGAACCACCCCTCCCTCTTGGGCCCTGAGGACTGTCATAGAGTTGGATGTCGCCCACTATGGGGCTCACAGGTGGGTGTATGGCCCTGGCTCGATCAGGACCCCATCCCAGGGCCACAGTCACCTGTAGATGGACAAATAGCTCAAGGTGGGCCATTGCGAATCTGCCCTGAGACCGGCTGGCGCTAGTGGAAGGCACTCTCTTGCCACAAGAGTTCCCAAGTTGGGAAGACGGAGGCCTAGAGTAGCTGTGGGCTGCCGTTTTGGGAAAAGCAAGTCACAGCATGAAGCGACTGGGTAAGAAAAGCAGAGCTGAGTGAGGAAGGAGAGGATGATCCTGAGAACTCTCGGCGGCTCTGGATCAAGCCACTTCTGCTCTACCCTGGACTCTTCAGGCACATGAGCCAATGAAAACCCCTGGAAGAACTGGGGCTTTGCCAGTGCAACCGAAAGAACACGCACTATTCTTTTCAAATCACGTTTTTCCTAACTCCCAGCCAGGGGACTGATGCACTGCCCGGACCAGCGACACAGTACCAGGATGGGCTGTTTCCTCAACAGTCTTCCCAGGGTGACTACAACCCTCTTCTCGCTGTCACCAATCTGGACTCTGGCATCTGCCATTCAAAGACACTTTCAATGGCACAAACATTATCTTTCACTGGCTGGTGTTATTCAGACTTTAAAACTGAACAGTTCTTCAAGAAACCGCTACTCTTCCCTCTTCCTCATTTATTTTAATAACCAGAATATCCTTGATGGGACACCTAGGTGAGTCCGTGTTTTTATACTGCATTATCCAAGTGACGCCAGCGTGAGTCCAGAGCGTTCGCTGTGCTCTCCAAGCAGAGGGAGGGCGGCAGCCATCGGGCAATCCCACCGGGAAGGCGGTGCAAGCCTCCACACAGTCAACAGGTGGCGCTCTAGAGAACACACCCGGCTCCTGCAGGAAAATCCACATGGGGATGCACACCCACTCTGGTTTCTGCTGTGAACCGGCAGCAGGCTGCCATAAACGGTATTAAGGATCCAACCCACAACGTGTCATCACGGGGTGTCTGCGAGGCACAGTGAAGGCACAGGCAGTTTGGCATCTTTGGGACACATTTGCTGGATGGCATGTTCAAGAAGCAAATCAAGGCTACCAGTCCTGGCCTTCCAGTGTAATATGTGAACAATCCCTGGCGGAGGAGCGGGAGGCCTGAGACCACAGCTCGGTCCTCAAGGACATCAGGAGAACAAGCAGCCCTCTCAGAAGGTGAGCAAGCTGACGGAGTAGCAGGAGGACGCCCACGGAGAGCTGGCTGGGGCCAAGCCTCTTTGTGAGTTTAAGAAAGATGACTGCTGGGCCCTCCCTGGTAGCACAGCGGGTTAAAGCACAGCACTAAGCAGCTAAAGCCACTTCCGCATGAGTTTGATCCCCGCCCTGGAGGTGACCACATGGCGCGGCAGACCCGCTGCTCCCCTCAGCAGTGTACTTTGTTGATCTGCCTGTTCTGCTCCCCACTCTGTCTCTGGTGAATCTTCTCACCGCCCCTGCACCTCTGGCCTGTACCCAAGTTCAGTATGTACAAATAAATAAATCTTAAAAAAAGAAAGATGACTGCAAATGCTCCACTAGTGTATTCTTCATAAACAAGAAACTTGAGCGTTTTAAGTGGAAGCTTCTCATTGCTTTAAAGGAGAACAAGGCCACAGTTTACAGTCAGGATGGCCTTGCCCCCAAAACAGCCTCGAAGTCCGGCCTGCCACTTCCCACACAGACCGATGCCTCTCCCTGCCAGTTAGCCCTGACCAGCACACACCGCACCAACTCTTTAACAGCAGGACAGGAGAATAAGCAAAGCATCAATTCAGGGTAAAAGAAAAACTTGTTTTCACTCAATGAAAAGCAGCCTATCAGTCAAAAGGCCGGGGGGAGGTGGGGCGGGGGGAGTCCTTCCTGGCAAGAAAGGAGAAACAATTAATTCTGAAAACCAGTTCATTGGTAAGACGACCTCAAATGTCCCTAATTTAGAGTCATAGGAAGTGGGTCTACTTTAAAATTAACTTTTAGAAATCCTGTGGCTCTGCTTTCTGTGGAAGAGCAAGGCTCTAAAATTATCAGCTTGATAAAGTCCCTCGCAGACTCGCGTGGGAGCTTGGAGGGGCAGTGGGCAGAAGGGGCTTCCCGAAGGAGATGGGTGGTCAGCGCGGGCTCACCCGGCACAGGTAGGCCCTGGCGTACACCGACACCAGCGGGTCTCCGATGCCTCGGATCATGGCGGTCAGGCGGGGCAGACATTCTGAAATCCCTCTGTGGGAGACAAAAAGAGGGCGTCGTCACAGCCGGTAAGAGCTCTCTCTACTTTTCAATGAGGACAGGGCTGGACTCCCTAAATGGAGGGGAGAAGCCAGACAAGGGCGAAGTGTAGCTCCCTGCGGCCCTGCCACACGTCTCTCCCAAAGATCCCACTCACCCACCTAGCAGCCGGCGCCTGGCTCTCAGGCTGGCATTGCAAGCCCCTACCTCCCCCAATCCGCAGGATGGACTGTGGTTCTTTCCTCCAGTGACATGGGGTATCCCTGTGCCTAAGGCATTAGCCTCCCCAACCTGATGAGGCAAAGTAATTGTTTAGCACCAAAGCGATCCCCCCCAAAACACCTCAAGCATCCCCAGATCCGAATCACACGCATTTGTTCCCTGGGCTCTGTCCACCACTCAAAAAAAGTCCCAGGTGAGCAGAGAGGTGCGAGGCTCGGGAGCAGAGGCTGTGCTCCTGACATCATCGTCATGGCCATCTGGACCAGCCACCGCTGGGTGTGAGCGAGCCCCTGTGCCAGGCACTCTTAGTGCGTGTGTGTGTATGCACGCGCGTGTAACCCACGCCATCCTCTAGCGAGGGCCTTGCTCACAGAGGGGCCCGAGGGTCACAGAGGCCGAGTTACTTGCTCCAGACCACGCAACTAACAATGGCAGAACCGGGATTGTCCCATGAGCTACTCAATTTCTAGCCTGAATTTATTTCCCTGTAAGCCGGAAATGAAAATGGTATCTACTTCATTGGGTTTTCATTTGGACTAAATGAGAAAATGCCTAGAAAGTGCTTAGCCTCAGATTCACTGCACACTTAAGTACCCGATGAATGATCGCTCCTATTAGACTGTCATTAGTGTGTGTGTGTGAGAGAGAGAGAGAGAGAGAGAGAGAGAGAGAGAGAGAGAAAGAGACAGAGAGAATCTTTTGGACATCGGACATTTAAAAAGCATCTTACGTTTTGGAGAGGAACTTGTTACACTTCAGGATAGAAGCTTCCACGTAACTGCAAAAACATTCTGTTAAGGAAGACATTGTCCAGACAGCCTGTTCCCTAAGGGGAAAAAGACTAAAGTATTCACGAACAGAACCAAGTATGTCTTGAGGAGCAGGGGCGCCTCATGGTTCTCTAATGAAGTTAGCTCAGTGGTTTCGAGCTCCGGTTTTCAGGTTTCATACTTAATTCAAGCGAAATGTGGGAAAATGCCACATGCTGGCTGCTGGTTGTGCAGTTAAATTCCAACGGGACTCCGAGCTTCTCCAACCCAGGGCTTTCTGGAGAAAAAGTGACTCTGATGGTGCAGATTCTACGTGTGGAAGTTGGATTCTGTTCAACACCGACATTTGTGGAGAAAGGCTTGATGCTGCTCTTTTCAAGGTCTTGGAATCAGAGAAAACACAAAGGTGGAGCATTTTAATTGAGAGAATTATCACGGGGTGTACCTCAAGAAAACACAAGCCTGGCACATGGCACCATATCAGAGTGAGGAAGAGACGGGAAGGCACTCAGAGGCGGCAAGCGGCCGAGGGCTCCATGGCCGGCCCAGTGTTTTCAACGAACTGTAACGGGACCAAATTTTCAACGGGAATTTCAGGGCATCCCATCACATGGCTTCTATTAACAGTGCAACTCTTTCAGCCCATCTTTATAAACATCAGACTAAAAACCAAATTGAAAAAAGGATACAATCTCGGAATGAGTTCCCTGATGGAAGCGATCTTGAAAAACCAATTTAAGCATGTCTCTTTGGCCGTGTCATTGACATTCTCCGGAGAGAAGTGATCTGGAATACAAGCACAGCACCGATCAGTCTTCTCGACCCTGGGCTCTGTGCCAGCTGCAGAGTCCTGGATGGGAGCACGTTACCCTGAAGGAGGCGGGAGGGAGCGGAAGGCGTGGAGGGTGGAGAGCAGGGGTGGGGGGCGGAGGGCGGGGGGCCGGCCACCCTGTACACCACTGTCTTCCTGCCAAACAGCACCATCATGATGAGGACACAGGGGACGATAACTCTAGCATGCACATAGGCTGAGCGCCAGGGATGGCGCAGCCTCACAGCCTCAGACGTCAGGTTAGGGACCTTTCCCCTGCTCTTTACTGCCATGGACAGTGAGGCCCACCCAGGGCACACAGCGAGAGCACGCGGGCACCCACTGGGCCGCCTACATGCTTGGCCACTGCCTTTGATGTAAGCCAAGGTGTGGTGTACTTCCCAGTAACTCTGACACTACTAAGAGCGCGATACGCTTGAGGGAGCTGCAACTGGAGCCTGGACGGTGAGGGAAGCTTTTGCTGTACATATCAGAGACCAGACTTGACGGCAAACCCAGGGCTTGCGTCAGGCTGCCGGCTGAATGGAGCCTTGAGTCAGCTTCCCCCATTTTCTGTTCTCTTTCTCTTTAACAACAAAACTCTTGTTTTTCTGCTGGACGTCTGGCTGTCTTTGTGGCTAGGGGTGGCCATGTCACCAAAGGCTGGTCTTGGGGCAGAAACGAGCGCAACTTCCAGGAAACAGCTTTCAGGGAAGGAGCTGCCCCCCCCCCATGCTGGCTGGAATGCACCTATGATGGCTGCCCCTCCAGAATCATCGTGAGCCAGGGAGGTAACAATAGCATAGCCTCCACCATGCTCTTTGCAGGATTCTGGCGCCCCAACCTGATCTCAGCCTACACCTCAATAAGGGAGAGGTTATGGAAAATTCTGGAAGAGTGAGAAAAAAATAAAGCACCAAGTTCATCAACACCAAGAAGCGCTGGATACGCTTATGCTTTCAGGATCCAAACACAAATGCAGCAATTACTTGAGAATACAGCCAGCGGGTGCTGGCGTGGGGGCACTCATCTCGTCCTGCAGGAAGTCATTTAGTCATTTCTCATGCCTGATTCTGTTCTCTGCTCCTTGGTGGTACGTGATTAAGGGGATCAAAATTCTGATGGGATCAGCAAAAAGATAAACTTCTAGGAACGCCACTGGCTGAGAAGAATCACTAATCACACATGCAGGCACTGGCACTGCCATTATTTCTCTGCTGGCCCGCGCCCTGCACTTAAGTCCCACTCGCATGCCTTTGTGTGTGTGTGTGTGTGTGTGTGTGTTATTTAATTTGTCATTTCCAAAGGGCAGGGAACTGCCACGCTCCCCTTCCTGGCCTGCAACTGTCCACAAAAAGTAACATGGCATCTTCAAGTTCCAACAAATCCAGAGAGCAGAAGAGGATTACTCTTAAATTCATTTGTCAATCTGCCTTTTGTAAGAGAGAGGAGAAAGGTTCATTCAATCATCTGACTAAATCATAAGACTTGAAACCCAAAAGCAAAAATAAGTCTCTGAGGGACCCCCTCAATTGTAGCTGAGGGAACAAGGATGCAGCAACAAGTGGGACCACGGGGATCCAGGAGCCCCACAGCCCAAAACCACAGCGAGGCCCTGCAGAGACTCCTCCAGGACAAGCAGCACGTCCCGAGGCGTTGGGCTTCCAGCCCAAGGGCACCTTAGGCTAAGGGTCATCCTGCAGGGGGTCATCCTGCAGACCATACAGCAAATTAAACACTATGGTAATGTTACAGATGACTTCTGCTACTCAACCCAGATGTTTTAGGAACTAACGAAAAGCAGTGCTCTACACTGTGGAAAGGAAACAGTGCCCAAGACAGACTCTACCCTCATGAAGTTTACACTCGAGTGGGGAGACAATAAACAGGAAAAACACAGGCAGTGATCTAAGTGGAGGGGGTGGGGATTGTCATCAGAGAGGGGTCAGAAGTGTCCTGGAGTGGCGGCACTGAGCCAGTCAGCTTGCTTAGAGGGAAATGTATTCCAGGAGGAAATGGCAGGTGCAAAGGCCCTGGGGTAGTATGGCCCTGGCATGTTCAAAGAACAGGAAAGCAAGCCAGCTTGAGCAGGAAGAGGCCTGAGCGCGAGGGGAGCAGCCTCAGGGAGGAGTCTGCGAGGTTTTGCTACTGAACCCCTGGAGGCTTCCAAGCAGAGGTGCGTGGCCTGGCAGGATTTATACTTTAGCACTTGCGGTGTTACGCAGAAAATGAATTCAGAATTGGGCAATTAATTCAGAAGCGTCTCTAATATAACCAAGAGCAGGGACTTTTCCTTCTAGCTCCCATTAATTTTTCTTAGGGTGTTTTTTTTGACCCTGAGTATCTAATGTCTGCGGATATTTTTGGAGGCAGGAGGAGAACAGGAGTCCTCTTTCATCTGCCAAGTCTCTGCCCCGGCAGTGAGCAGACTCTTTACATAACTGCGTATAGGGAGGCCACGTCATCTTAGTGTGTGCCTGAAAGGCCAGGTCAGGTCAGGCCACTGCTGACCCGGACGCAGCGCACACCAGCCTCGGGCACAGGCAGGAGGCAGGAATGCCCACAGCAGATGAGGAGGCACAGAGCCCTAAAACCCAGACTGTGACTCCCAAGGTGGAGATAAAACTATTTTATCACTTAGATGGTCTCATCACATATGACAAGTTGAAAAACATCAGGAGAGGGCCCTCCCTGGTGGCACAGCAGGTTGGAGCGCTGCACTGTGAAGCTAAGCCAAGCCATGGCGGCTCCAGCACGAGTTCGATCCCCACCCTGGAGCTGACCCACATGGAGCGGTAGCCTTTCCTGCTCGCCCACTGCTCCCCTCAGCAGGGTACTTTGTTGATCTGCCTGCTCTGCTCCCCACTGTTTCTGGTGAATCCTCTCACTGGCCCTGTGCCCCTGGCTGCACCCCATTTCCGTATGCATAAATAAATAAGCCTTACAAAAAAAAATCAGGAGAAAATGAGTACACCTAGTGGTGCGCCCTCGGTGAACGACACTATGAGCCAGGCTCTGGTAAAACTCCAGAAGGGGAAGGCTTCAGAAACTCAACCCACTAAACTTGACTCAGGCGGTGAGAGGGAGCACACGCCAGCAGATCTCTTGCTACACACAATTTCTAAGGCAGAATCCTGAAGTGTAGATTTCAAAGCTCTCTCCATAATTAAGAGTCATCCCCAAATCACTGACTTTTCTGAGAAAAATCTACCCTTTCTCCTTTCAGGTTCCTAGAACCAGAGGTAACACATGTAGATGAAGACTTTAACTGACGTGGGGAGGGGTAAATAAGGCTAAGGAGGCTAAAACCTGATTTGCATAACGTAAGGTAAAAGACAAATAGCTATCTGGGGAGAGAAGAATTTTAGTGACAGAAGTGCCAATTAACGTACTAGATAGGAACTGGATGTGAATCTGAAAATAACCTTTCATTTTGAAATTTCATCGTTGAGGTAGGACGTTATTCGTTTTTCCTGGCCCAAAGACAGTTGTCTAGTCAGTGGTCGTTGAGAGGAAGGAAAGTCACGACAGTAGATGCAAACTCGGATCTCTGGGGCCAGGCAGGTAACAGAAGGGAGTAGAACCTCTACCAAAACCCATTTTACAAAATACTGCTGCAAACCAAGAAAACACGTCTTTCAGCGTATAAGTTCTGACGTGGGCTGAGAGCTTACGCCGCCGGCACAGCATCTGGCGCAGCTGGCTCGGACTCCCTGAACCCCTAAGCCCCAGGCGGGGGCCCTCTACCCTACCAGGCTCGCTGCCTCCCAACTCAAGGAGCCTTGAAGTGGGAGGGGCTGTCAAAAAATATCACCATGTGGGGCCCTCCCTGGGGTTACGACGCAGTACTATGAAGCTGTCCACGGCCACTGCTCACGAGTTCGATCCCCGTCCAGGAGCTGACCCCCATGGCGCAGCAGACCTCTCCTGTCTTGCCCGCTGCTCCCCTCAGCAGTGTGTTTCAGTCGATCTGCCTGTTCTGCTCCCCACTGTAGCTCTTGTGAATCACCCCCTGCATTTCTGGCCTGTATCCCAGCTCTTGTATGCATAAATAAATCTTAAAAAAAAAAATTCACTGGTGTGATGCCGGGTGGGGAGGGGAAGGTCTAGAGCATCGAAATCTATATGTGAGAAAGTTCAAAAAGATAAACAGATGAAACTTTATCATACCTAACCTACTAAATATTTCATATTTCAACATATAACCAATATAAAAAATTACTAGTAAGATGACTTAGTGGTTTTTTATTTGGATTAAGTCTCTAGAATCCAGAGTGTGCGTGGACACTCAGGACACGCCTCAACTTAGTCGGGCTGCGTCTCAGGCACCCCAGCGCCACGTGCAGCTGGAGCCGCCATGTTGCGCCATGGTGCTGACCCGGCGCAAAGGGCAAGGTGCCCAGCAGGCGGAAGCCCCTGCCTCCGCCCGGCCACACGAAGGCGAGGTGACTCTCAGGAGTTCTTCTAGCCCTGAAAGTCGGGGGCTTTTGTCTCTTCTGACTAGTGAGCTTATTAGGTAGCTTTAACAACACAGTTGAGTGGGCGGAAAGAACTAAAATGATGACAGAGTAAGAAAGGAAGGAAGGGCAAGTCAAGTTATGGGTTTTGGGGGCTGAAGCCATCTCCTTGTTCCCCAGGATCATGCCACCCCCTTTACAAGGTCAAAGGAAGAGGGAGCAAACGCCTGTCATTCTAGCTTGCAGGAATGCAACGCTTCTTACAGCAGTTGTAGGAACTTGAGGGGAAAGGAGGCCGCGGCAAGAAACCCTTGTTGACTGCAATCCCCATCATTCATACAAGAGACTCCACAATCTAGTTGGCCCTTATCACCACCTGCGCAGTTAAAACTGACTGGCAATACACTTAATGCAGCATCATGAAATGCGTCCTTGTTTACACTTAATGCGAGTATCACTGGGCATAGTGTGGATTCACAGCACCTGCTGCCACTGATTTATTTGACTTTGTTCTCTAACATATAGGAAAAATGTTAAAATGTCAAGCAGAAGAAATTAATTTGGCATGAAAATCCAGCGCAGTACAGCTACAATACCTTTGCATTCTTGTGAGACCAAATTATCTGCGCAAATTATCAGCCAGACAGAAGACCTCATGTTTTTTAGAATACTGGCATGATCAGAAATCTATACAAGTGCTTCTTTCACCTTTAACACACTAAAGGCTAAAAAACACACACGTCATCTGGTCTCCATAAATCCGGACTTGCTATGAGTGTAATCCCAGCTCCAGGATGGAGACGCAGTGAAGACCTGGGGGCAGTGAAGACATTACCTGGCAAGACGCTGCGGTTATCCACACACATGGAGAAGATGCGCTCATACACGAGCTTTCCTGGAGAGAAAAGGGCAGTGTTAGCTTCACACTCTTCAGGAGCAAACACTAAGAAAACGCTTGGTAGTTAATTAGGGACCCAGGCAGGGCCACAGCCACAGCTCTTTAACTCGCGAGAGTCTGCTGCCACCAAGTGGCCACATCTTAAGTCACTTTGCTTTTGCCCGTTTTAATTAAAAGACGTTTTCTTCTTGTTAGAAGAAAGTGATGGTCCTTAACTGAAATTTGGGGCCAAAGACCTCGGGCAGCTCCATTCCACTTCATCATCCAGGCCCGAGACAGTGAGCAGGCAGCCTGTGGGGTCACGCCAGCCAGCAGTCGTTTTGTTTGGCACACAGCAGAGCAGGCCACAAAGTATTTTAACATTTTTTAGTTAATTGCCAAGAGGTAACAGCTGGGAGAGCTCACATGAAAAGTCAGATTTCCTACTTCTTCCTGTATGATGTGCCAAAAATGGGCCCAAAACCCTACAGGGTAAAACTAAATTAGAACAGATTGGTAACTGGCTGTCCCTTGAAATGACATATGTAACCCAGTTAGCCACAATCCCCACCATTCCCTATTGTCTCATCAACATTTTCTGCTTCTTATTTATGTGATCTGCCTGGTGTCTAGGAGCATTAGAACTTGAGATTCAGCTGGAATGCAAGCTTTACACGGGCAGAGCACTGTTTCTGGTTCACTGACCTCCCAGGACCCGGATCAGTGCACAGATGAATGTCTTAGGTTGCGACTCAGAGGTCACTTTCACACTACTCCACTCTGCTAGTGCAGTACAAAAGCTGCCGGGACAACACGTAAACAAGTGGTTGGCTTAAAGCTACTTAGAAAAACAAGGGGGCGGTCTGGGCACGGTTTACAAGCCAACCCATAACCTAGCACAAAAACATACAGCATTTGGAAAATGCTATCAATATTCAAAAGGTAAAAAAAATACAGTTCTGTTCATTTTCTATTCCTTTCCAAGTCAAACTGAACACTGGAAGTATCTCCTGTGCGTTCATGCAGCAGTGTGACCACTGGGCGCACTCGGGGGGCCTGGAAATCTGCTGGAACCTGCGTCCATCCTGTGTCCTGAGGTAAATGGTCCAGAATGCCGCTTCCACCATAAGCCCCACACAGTCCCGTGCGGGAGCTGCTCGCTGCAGGGGCCGGAGGACGCACAGCCCTGCCCGGCTAGATACTCCCACCCCATCACTAACAAACAACAGCCCTCCTGTCACAGGCCTCTGTGGGGCAGGGACAAAGGCAGAGCTTGCACGCAGGCGGGCCGAGTCCCGCTGCTTTGAAAGAGGCACAAACATGCAGCGTGGCTGCTCCAGGCACCACAGAGCCTTCCTGGGCTGGGCCCAGGCCTGAGCAACACCAGGCACAGCTGATCCAGACAACAGCCCGCTGGCAGCACCATGGAGAGAGGATGAGAGTGGGTTGGAGTGTCTGGCTTCAAGCTGGTAAAATACTTCCGTGGCCCCAAATTCCATAAAACCACCGAAGACACAAGAGGAAAGTCCCTGACGCCTCTCCTCGCGGCCCGCACCCCCACACCACAGTGGCCACTTTCCTGCCGAAGGTTCCTTAGGCAAATACGAACAAGCGCCCAGGGGATGCTCCTCTGTGCAGAAAGCAGGACACGGTCTAAGGCTCTGCTCTGCAACTTGACCTGTTCCTGGGTTCCCGGATCCAAACCAGGGCAAGCGCAGGCCCGTCTGTCCTCACAGGCGGCTCCACGTACAGACATCCTGCCATGCATTTAGTGGCCCCCGCTGAGGGCTACTTGGGTTGTTTCCAACATTTGCTATGGCGAGGGGGACAGATTCTAAGAGGTGGAAGTGCTGGGTCAAAGGGATCCGCATTTGTCATTTTCAGGGAGAGCAGTTCCCTTCCACCCACCCCCCAGCCCACCCCCCCGCCACACACACCCAACCGCTCCCACCCCAGTCAAGAACAAGAGAAAGAAAGCAGGTGCTCTGACTGCAGAAAGAACTGGGTTTGCGCCCAGGTTCTTCCACTCACGACCCTGTGACCTTGACCCTTATTCTCAGCTGCCAGCCCATCTAGTTCCTAGATGCAGCATATGGCAGGCACCCACACTGTGCGTCATCTTGCCGAGGGAGGGCTATGACAGGGACGCCACCAGCAGCGCCTCAGGAGAGCTGCCCGAAATCCTTGCAAGGTGGATGTCTGGACCTGGCTGGGTTTGCAGGTTAGAGACTGAATCTCATGAGCATCCACAGCAAGTCTTGCTCCAGGATGCTGACTCATGGGAAGAAAACAAGCAGGGGCCAGTATCAAAAATCCTGAGTGCTGATTCATGGGAGAAATGGCACTGTCAAGAGAGCCAGACAGCCACCAGCCGGTCCCCACTCCAGGAAGGCAACCTGGTATGACAAGTCAAAGCCTGAAGTGTATGGCCTGACACCTGTCTGACAGTCTAACACACCCACCCGTCCCAGCTCACCTCTCCCATTCTCCACTGGCTTCTGCGATCCAAAACCCCTCATTTTTCACCTGCGGAATTGCAGTGGCCTTACAGGACTGTCCACCCCACCTGTGTCCTAACATTCTAGTCTGTGTATTCGAATGGCCAAGGGAGCCCACTAAAACCCAAATCAGATCGGGCCCCTTCTGCTTCCCACCCTCAGGGACTCCTCACAGCTCTCAGAGATGAAACTCAAGCCCTTCCAAAGGCCCATAAGGCAGGTGGGCCACTGGCCCCCTCGAGGTGCAGAGGACCTTGTCCTCGGGGGGGTTCCTGGGTACTGCCATCAGTCTTCACCTTCCTGCTGGGCTCCCAGAGAGCTTTCCTGCAGGGCGGGATTCAGTGGGGGTCAGCATGATACAGGAGGACCTCCGAGAAGGCCAGCGGGCATCCCGGTGGGAGAGGGCTGTGGGTTGGACTAACTAAGGGGAACGGTGAAGACAGAAAGATGGACACACTGCGGAGAGATTTAGGAGGCAGAAATGAAGAATGTGTGGCAAGCTGGGCCCGGGGCGTGGGGAGAGGACCCTCCCACTTCTGGCTTGGAAATGGGGTGTGATTCTGAGACAGTAACCACTGGGTAAAGCACTGGGGAGAGGTGCCAAGTTCAGAGTGAAATGAAGCAAGTGTCAGATGCCAAGAGATGGTAACAATGGGAGCTGGGAGCTGGGGTTTGGGGCACAGCACCTCACTCTCATTTTCCAGACCCTCAACAGATGGAAAAAGAGAATTCCAGCGCCTTTCAAAAGAGCACCCTGGGAAGAGGATGGCCTCTCTGGTGATGTAATTCATTTTAGCAGAAACACCACTGAACCTAATTTGAAGCAACCCCTCCAACCCACTTCTGTCAAAAGCAACATTTCCTAGGTCGAAAGATGGCCAGTACTTACCGAACGTATCAAGTATGTCGGTGATCAGGACAAACTTGCTTGGGTAGAACTGAATCACGCTTGTGTCTGAAAGCAGCTTTGAACACTAGAGCAAGAGAAGAGAAAAGCACGTTCAGGCTGATGTGTCTGACTTGGTGGGGATACTGCAGGCTTGGAGCATCCCCCCCCACCTCCACCCCCAAGTGCAGGTGGTTTCTACTACATGCCCAGTGCTGCGCTGGGCACCAGCGACACAATGAAGAGTGAAAGCACTCAGCTCTTGACAAAGGGAGGCAGACTGGAGGCTCTTCAGGAAAGACGCTACCGCCCCCCCCCCACAACCCGGAATGCCACAGGACCGAGGAGTCTCATCTAGAAGGGTCTTGGATTTGTGCAGGGTCAACTGGAGGGGTCACAGAAGAAGTCAGGGGAACCTCGTCCACCCGGATCAGGCAATCGTTGTGCCCAAGGCTCTCTGCCTAGCTTCCCTGGTTTGTGTCAGATGGTCTCGATTCAGACACCATTATTTCAATGGGATGGCCCTCAGTAAGCCTCCAGGTCTCCTAACTAACTATTGTCTCCAGATGTGTTTACACTTGTTCCCAGCTCCCCCTCCAAGAGGAAACATGACAAGCTTCAAAGAGACGTGCTTCCCTGAAGGTAAGCTCTTCAGAGCTGGAGACACTCTGGCTTTGCAGCGACTTGCGGGACCCTACACTCATCACTCACACTAGAGAGCCACCGACATCTTCTGTCCATGAAGACCGCAGCCACACAGCATGGCCTCAGACTCCCAGAGTAAGTCAGCTTTTATGATCAGAAGCAAAAAAGCCTCGTTCTATTTTCAAAAACCAAATGTAACAATACCCCTCATCTTTACAAATTCAAAACTCAGCAGCAGAAACTAAATAATCTTATCATCTTTTATTATTCCAATATCGGTCCTCAGAGAGGAAAACGTGGCTGGAGAAAAACATCTGGACACTAGAAAGGGTCCTTCGTGTGCATTTTGCGTTTCCAGCATGCAGAGGATGCTCTCGTGCCCACAGGCTTCATATGTCCACAGGACCAGCTGACACGTTTCCAGTTTGGCATGGTGACCCAATATCTAAATGGTTTGATTCACCAGGTTCCTCTTTAGCTATATAGGCCTGAAAGTAAGCAACGTGTCTGACTTGTGAAACATCCTCTTACAGCCCAAATGTCCGGGGCAGGGGCCGGGGTGGTGACGGGGAGAATGTAAGCTGTTAAAACAATGGTGTCGACACCAGACGTGCCATGTGGATGTTGCTGGAACTTGATTTCCTGACCCTATGCTTCGTGGTTTTCAGATGCCCTTTACAACACTCCAACTTAAACAATCACCCCATGAGATTTCAAGGCTCAGGAAAAAAACAAACAACTCTGAGTCCTAGAGACTGTTTACAATCCACAGTTCTGGGCTCTTAGGGTTGGGCCCTCTCCCGAGCTCCGGCCCAGAGCTGCCCCGAGAGGAGATACTGCCCGCTGGCAAGCGGGGGAGAGCAGAGTCAAACAGATTCAGGTTACACACAGCGGGGGCTCCCCACATCTGCACACTGGTGTTTCTCCCCAACTGGAGTCCCACCACATGTGCCTATAATGGATAACAGGAACCAGACTTTTATTTTTAATGCAAAGTTAAAGTCATATAATGTTATGCATTTAAGTTAATGTTTCAATCACCAATTTGAAGATCCCATGTTTTTTTAAAGCTTTCTCCTAAACTTGCCCAAGTGTGTTAAAAACACAGATTCTGGGCCCTCCCTGGTGGCGCAGCAAGTTAAAGCACAGCACTGAGAAGCTAAAGCCACTTCAGCATGAGTTCGATCCCTGCCCTGAGGTGATCCACAAGGCGGCAGGCCTCTCCTGGCCCGCCCGCTGCTCCCCTCAGCAGTGTGCTTCGTCGATCTGCCTGTTCTGCTCCCCACTCAGTCTCTGGTGAAGCCTCTCATCGCTCCTGCGCCCCTGGCCTGTACCCCAGTTCTGTATGCATAAATAAATCAATCTTTAAAATACACACACACAGAGATTCCTTACACAATGCTAAAGTCACTGGCCTGAACCTCCTGCCAGAGCTAACAAGGGCTGCAGGTGACCGCTACGCTGGGACACACTGGGGTCTTGAGCAGCCGGTCCATGGTGTGTGCTGCACCAGATGGGCACTCACAAGCCAAGTGTCCAACTGCAAAACGAATGGTGCCCTGGTTCCCGCTCCCAGAGAAGCAGATTTAGCTGGTCTGGGGTGCAGTTTAGACACTGGGATTTTTTAAAGCTCCCCAGGGAGTCTGCTGTGCAGGTGAGAGTGAGAGCATTGTTATAAACATTTCCTGAGTGACTGGCTGATAAATGACTCTGCCTGTGATACTTGCTTAGCACAGCAAGTATTAACACTGTTGGAAAAATACTAAAAGGGTGTTTTTCATCTGTTTCCAGTGAGCGATATTCTAGAAGGACACTATAGCCATTTCTAAACTAAGCTTAGGGTTTTAAAAATATATGAATAACCAAAGCAAATAAATTAAGGCAACCTGTGGCTGAGTACTAAGGATGGGCAGATAGGAAGACAGAGAGAAAGCAGATTAATCAGAAGACAAATACTGGGCCTTTCCTGGTGGTGCAATAGGGTAAAACACAGTACTAAGAAGCCAGCAGCAGCAGCTTCAGCACAAGTTCCAAACCCGGCCAGAGAGCTGACCCACATGGCGCGGCAGACCTCTCCTGACCCGCCTGCTGCTCCCCTCAGCCGTGTATTTCAGTCAGTCTTCCTGTTCTGCTCCCCACTCTGTCTCTATGAATCCTTTCATCCCACCCCCACCCAAACCTCTGGCCTGTACCCTAGTTTTATATGCATGAATTTAAAAAATCTTTAAAAAAATTGAGAACTCCTATACCTCTAAAGCACCAGTGTGAAAATGAAAAGACAAGTCACAGATGAGAAAACACTTGTAGATCAAGCACCTGATTCATTAAAAAAAAAAAAAAACTAGCATGAAGGAATGAAGGATATATACAGAACTGTTAAAACTCAAGAAAAATAAATTATCTGATTTTCTAAATAAGTTTGAATAGATATATTTCCCTAAGAGGATTCAAAAAAAAAGAGAAAGAAAGAAAGAAAGAAAACAGTGAAGAGCATGTGAAAAAATGTTCAAGGTCCTGAGTGATTTAGTATACGCGATGAGACACTCCTTCAAACCAACTGAGGATGGCTATAAACAAAAAGACAATAACAAGTGTTGGAAAAGAGATAGAGGGATTAGTATCCTCAACACCAGTGGGAAGAAATACCAATGGTGCTGCCATTTTGGAAAGCAGCTGGCCATTTCTCAAAAGGTTAAACAGAAACTTGGCATGTGACCCCGCAATTCCATTGCGAGAAATCTACCCAAGAGAAATGAAAAGATGTTTATGCAAAGTCTTCCCTGCAGGTGTTCACAACAGCATCATTCACTAGAGCCAGAGGGTGAGGACCACCAAAGTGTCCACCAACTTGTTAGCAGACAAGTAAAATGTGGTTACCCACGCAATGGAATACTGCTGAGCAGTTGAAAGGTACAAAATACAGATAGTACAACATGGATGAACCTCATAAACATTATGCTAACTGAAAAAAAGACACGAAAGATGAACAGCAAATGATCCCATGATAACAAAATGTCCAGGAAAGACACATCTAGAGAGTCATCAAACAGAACTGTGGTTTTCTGGGGCTGGAAGTGGTGGTGTCTGATCGCAGCAGCTTTGAGGGAATTCTGGGTGATTATGAAAATATTTTAAAATTGGATTGTATAATAGCTTCACCACTCTATAAACTGACTCAAAAATGCAAATGTATACTTCTAAAGGTAGATTTTATGATAAATTATAAATATATCTCAATAGGGCCCTCCCTGGTGGTGCAGCAGGTTACAGCACAGCACTAAGAAGCTCAAGTCACTTCAGCATGAGTTCGAGGCCCACCCCGGAAGTGACCCACAGCAGACCTCTCCTGACCCGCCTGCTGCTCTCCTCAGCAGTGTACTTCATCAGTCGGCCTGTTCTGCTCCCCACTCTGTCTCTGGGAATCCTCTTACCACCCCTCCACCTCTGGCCTGTACCCCAGTTCTGTATGCATAAATAAATAAATCTCAAACTATATATCTCAATAAAGGTGGGAAAAACAAAACCCTGGAAGGGCTTATCAAATAAACTGACCTGAGCTCACGTCTCCATGATGCTTTATCATTTTTGGATCAAGAAGGTAGTCTTTAAGGTATGGAAAGTAAAATAGTTACTATTAACCATATGTAGAGTTAATCAAACACTTTCATGGCTTTTTTTTTTTTTTCTGCAAAGACACAAATTTAAATCTCCTCCAGATGTAGAAATCTTAGAAGTCACAGTTCTATACTACAATACTCTATGGACAGATGTTGCCAATAAAAATATTATGACGATGAAGTTGTTAGATTGGGTATTTTCTCACTTGACCTACTCAGCAAGCAACCAGGAGAGGCCCCTTTTCCAAGAATATTTACTCTGTAAACCAGCAGCCGTGCAGCCGTGATAGAAGGGCAACGGGCTGTCACGAAACACCAAAAAACCCCAGCACTCCCATCCAGAGTCATCTGAAAAGACTTTAAACTTCCAGTGTGAAGACTCCCAGGCTCTCCCAGGCCTCTAGCCACAGAAACAGGAGAGAAAACAAATGTCGTGTTGCAGTGACACAGAACAAGAATGGGACAGTGCATCAATTATTCTTTCCCTAGTATTCTTTGTGAGCATGCTTTGCCAGGTGATAGGCTAAGGTTGGGAAGCAGAATAAGCTGTTCTCCTTTTAGAATTTGCTTTTGTGAACTAAGAGTTGTCACTGGATCAACAAATTCATCAACAAAGAGGATACGCACACACAACACTGTAAACATGTTCTATCATACAATTATGCAAAAGAAATAGAAATCTCCAAAATGCACATGTCAGGGGCATATAATATTAGTCCCAAAGATACAAATCTGGTCAAGGAAACCAAGACAGTTGGTCTAGAGGCCTCCCTCGTGGCACAGGGGTTAAAGTGTAGCACTATGAAGTTCTTCGCAGCCACTGCAGCATCGAGTTCCATCCCTGGCCTGGACACTGACCCACATGGCACGGCAGACCTCTCCTGTCTCCCTGCTATTCCCCTCAGCAGTGTATTTCAGTCCATCTGCCTGTCTGTGTCCCACTCTGGCTCTGGTGAATCCTCTCACCCCTGACATCTCTGGCTTATACCCCAGTATGCATTAATAAATAAATCTTAAAAAAAAAAAAAAAAAACAAGACAGTCGGTCAGTTTTAAGTTTGTACAAATCATAAATGTTGTGTAGGGGACATTGCTAGTTAGTAAGCTAAGAAGAATTTCCTTCTACTGTGCAGTGCACACCCAGGGAACTGCTCATGCAGACCCTGGGATTCCCATTTCATAAGAACATAGATGTATAATCATGGCCTTTCACCAGAACTATGTGAAAATGGAACAGTTGAAAAAAGCAGGACACGCCCCAGAAGGCAGGCCCCTGGACACCCTACTTATGCACAAAGGAGTAATACACGGGAAATTCTGAAAGAAAAAATAAATCACTGGATCTGACCTGGATGACTATTTTTAGAGCTTTCACTTTCTGGTCTGAGGCCCAGGCATCCTTCAGTGACTGGTTGAGCTCCTCGATGCGGTTCACGTAGTCTTGTTGAGTCAAATTCAGCAGCTCCTTCTGGGATCCCTGCAGGCAGAGTGGGAGGAGTAGGCACAGAAGGAAAACACTGCTCGGCCGCCAGCCCCGTGAGCAACTCAGTACGGGCTGGGCTGCAGCCGCTAAGTTTTCCACACCAGGGTGGACAGTGTCTTGTGACCAAAGAGATTCTGTGAGTTTCCTCCAAAGATGGGCACAGGACAGCGGGTAAGACTGGTCCTGGAGGGAAGGCAGACCTAAGCCAGCTCCCGGCTCGGCTGCTAACTGGCTGTGTGATTCTGCACGAACCGCTCCCCTGCCAGAGCATCTGTGAACGAGGATCAACAGGACTCACCTGATGCAACAGTTATTGGGGTCTCCCCTGCGCCAGCATACAAATTCCAAATGTTTAAGATCCAAAGGTAGGCCAAAAATCAAAATCAAAATAGTTCTGTGCTGATGGAATTCAAGGTACAGAGAATGAGGTGGGCTTTACACCAAGTGGGTAAATGCCCGCGAGAAAAGAACTCTAAGACACGTGCCAGAGCTCGCTTCACTGATCGGAGGGACCCCACTGGAAGAAGCCCAACTGTTATCTCGTGTAGTCTTCCACTAAGGGCAAAAAATGCTCATCACTGACCTAAGCTGTGATTAAAACCTGAGCAACTGCCTCCCTTTCTCCAGCCAAGGGTAAAGGTGCAGACCGAGGCTCTCAGATGCCCTAATTCAAAATGGAGGAAAAAGATGCTGAACCTGGGCCCTCCCTGGCAGTGCAACTGGTTAAAGCGAGGCACTGTGAAGCTGCCAGCAGCCGCGTCGGCTCGAGTTCGATCCCTGCCCTGGAGGTGACCCACATGGCACAGCAGCTCTCTCCTGACCCGCCTGCTGCTCCCCTCAGCAGTGTCCTTTGTCACTGTCTCTGGTGAATCCTCTCACCACGCCTGCATGTCTGGTCTGTGCCGGAGGTGCACACATAAATAAATAAATCTTTAAAAAACGATGCTGAACTGTTAAGATTCTGCTGAGCACACAGCAGCTTGGGTCTCAGAGCTGGGGTGTCTCAGGGGCAGAGCGCTGGGGCTGCCCTCCCTGACCTCTGCCGTTCACTCAGCAGCTGCGTTCAGGCCACACAACTCTGCTGTTATTCCACTGCAGATGAGGAAGTGGGTAAGGGAAAGGTGGCAGTTAAGAGTCCTGTTAACCAGCAGCACTGCAGATCAGCCAGCGGAGGCTCACAGCTGCTAAGCACCTGGCCCCCAAGCCGGCGGAGCTGGGCTCACACCCAAGCAGTTTGGCCTGTTCCCACCATGCTCTGCTGCGTCTTAACTGAAGTTGCAGAGGAGGCAAACTCACCAGCCACTGGGCGGGCTAGTCATGGTGACCAGCGAATCAGGACAGGCGGGCGACTGCCCTGCAGAAGCCCAAGCAGGACCCACTGTCGTGGATGTCGTGGGTTGAAGGTAGAATTCAAGGGAAGCCAGACATCCAGCTTGACTGTTAAATTCACTGAGGCTTAAAGAGCTGGTCAACGGGTCACTTTTTTTAAAAGCACCTGCTGGCCAGCTGTGGCTGAACCTTTGCACATTCCCCGTCCAGCAGCAGCACGGCTGGCCCTGTGCAGCCGCCGCAGCCAGGCGGGAGCTTCGCACTCCACAGGCTGCTTCCCAGGGAGGGGATCCCGCTGGCTTTCACCGCTAGGCCCTGTCCCCAGACGACCCAGGTTTGCTCTGCTGTCACAGCAAGAAAAAGCTCCTTCAGAAAGCAGGCCCCACGCAGGCTCCTGAGAACCTGGCCACCTGCCTGCTGGCACTGTCCCCAGGGCGGGGAGGGGGCCAGGAGGACGGAGCACAGCGTGAGCTGGAGAAATCACCAAAGAGCAGCCACCGAGCACAGTGGCACCAGGCAGAAGACACGAGACACCGCCCCTCCCGGTCTCGGCAGAGGCCCGCTCACCTCCTCAAAGTCATCCAGCTCCTCCAGCCTGGTCCGAACCTTCTCGGACATGGCGGACGTGGCCACCCCGGCTCGGCCTAAACAGGACACAGAGAGTCACACAGCAGGCCGTCCTGAGCCCCCACCCCAAAGGCAGACTGCCCCTTTCACTTTATATACTTCACCCCAAACCAGAGGCCGGGGGAGGTTTTACTATAGCAGACACTGAGATTCTGAAAGCTGCATCCTTACGTAACAAAGCTCCACTGCGCGCATTTCTGCTGAGCAGAGGCCCTGGGCAAGTCTCCCACTACATCTGATATTTACACTCTTCAGTGGGTCACTTGTTTGTTCCTAAAGAAAAGCGGGCCAGAATGGGGCCAAAAAGCCGTCATTTAATTGTTCTCCAACAACAGAAGGGCCTCTCAGGCTCCGACTCACAGTGCAGAATTGTACCCTTATATGAACAAAACAAGCCTCTCACTGTCTGCCCGGAGGTGGGAACACCAGGGCTTCAAAGGCTGCTCTCCCAGCGCACAGGACTAAGCTGTGTCTCCCGCCATCATCTGTCAGCGCGCTTCTCTCTGTCAGCGGGCACAGCAGATAGAGACTGAGGGCTGAGGGCGCAGGGCCAGGCCCACGCAAGATGCCCCTGCCACGGCCCAACCTTCTCCCGCCGCCTACTGCAGAGCCCTGTCCCTACCGAAACGGGCCCCACTCTAGATATGAGACCCTGTTACCACTCGCCAAACCCATTTGCAGGAACTGAAGATCATACCTCTTAAGGCCCTGGTTTCTCAGCCGGCTCTGGCTGGGATCAGCTGAGTCTGGTGCAATAATTTTACCACTAACTACTGGTCTCTGAACACAGCACCTCTCGAGTTCCTTTGTCCGGACAGTCACCGTACCAGTGTGTCTGTGTGTGCCCTGGGGCTAAAGACCTCAGGCTAAGAGGAGCTCAGAAAACCATGTCTCTCTACGACTCTAAAATCAGGCTATGGGTCCTCGCTGGTGGCGCAACGGGTTGTAGCACAGCATTGAGGTGATCTGTAGCCACTGCAGCACAGGTTCGATCCCCGGCCAGGGAGCTGGCCCACATGGCGCAACAGACCTCTCCTGTCTCGCCCACTGTTCCCCTCAGGAGTGTGCTTTAGTCAATCTGCCTGTTCTGCTCCCCAATCTGTCTCTGGTGACTCCTCTCACCCCCACCTCTGGCCTGTACCCCAGTTCTTGCATGCATGAATAAATAAATCTTTAAAACATAAATAAATAAATAAAATCATGCTATAACCCTATGGTTTAGTCCTAGTAAGCTCTTGGTTTTCTGTTTTGCCTTTTTTCTCTCATTCATCAAATAAATAGGTACTTTAATTCCATTAAGTCTGTGCACAACAAGGAAATAACTTCAACTGAATTAAATATCCAAAGTGAGTACTATAGACTTTTTTCCTTTGAAAAAGTATTTTTAAAGTGAATTTCCCTATTAAAACAGTAATAATGACAAAAACTTACCTTTTTCTGATCCCATAAATAGATTCTGCAGAGGCAAAACAATTTTTTTAATGGATTTAAAAATTATTGGATTCCACAACAAAATAAAAACATATGAGATACCGAAATTACCACACAACCAGCAAGGGGCAGAGTGACCCAACATTTTCAAACACAGCTCTTTATTTAGCCAAATGAAAACAGAAATGTTTACTCAAAGATAAAAAACACGCCCCTTAAAACTATTATAGATCCCGATTTTGACACAATCCAGGCCTCTCACAATGAGCCAACAACAGTCTGAAGACAATGGGGCCCAGCAACACTATGTAGCTTATTCAAAACTCAGTTTCCCAAGCTGGGTACTAGGAACAGTGACAGCTGGATCACTCTGCTTGGGGGTGCCCTGTGTGCTGAAGCCAGTGTGGCGGCACCCCTGGCCTCCACCCACAGAATGCCAGGTGCACCCCCACACCAGAATGTGTTCAGACATGGCCACATATCTGGGGTGTGATGACTCCCGGATGGAGAATCACTGCTTTCCATTCACACGATATATGCCCGGCAATTCAGCCTGCCATTTCGCTCCACAAGCACATGCCTGGGGAGAAGGGGGAGGGGAGTCGGGAGGCGCAGGCCTACCTGTGCCTGCTGAGCCCACCCCTCCTCTCCGGTCACACCTTGATTTCTGACGGGCTCCCTGTCACACGTCCCAGCTTCCTGTCACACCCTGTGACTCTCTTGGAGACAGGTGTCATTGGACGTGTTGAGAGGGACTTGGGGAAGTCTCCTTCAGTGAGAGGACGCACCCACCCTCGTCATCTTCCGTCCAATGACTCAGACACGAGGTGATAAGGAAGGTGGCAGAGCAGCAACAGAGAAAGAGCCGGTCCCGGATGACAGGCTGCCCAGCCAGCCCCAGCCCACACCCCCAGGACCTCAGTGTCAAGAGCGAAGCATCACCCTTGTCCCATCACTAGAGAGGACTGCAGTTACAAGCACCCAACACCGAATCAGCCTGCTTTCCCTGGCTGGTCTCACCTCCCTAGGCTTCTACTATGTCAGCAACTTAAAGTACCGCTCAGTCAACAATGGACCACACACAGCACATACAGGGAGGTGCTCCCCAAAGGCTGCATCACAGAGCTCAGGGGAGCAGAGGGCTGTACCATCTCAATACACACTATGACATTTCCACACAATGAAATCGCCTAGGACACATCTCTCAGAGGGCATCCAGCTTAGGTGACTGAGAGGGGAAGGCCCTAAGCTCATGGGGCCCACACGGCCCAACACCGCCACCTAGTGGCCACCCGAAGAAGCGAGGAACCTGAGCTGGGAAGGACCTGGATGGACCTGGGGTTGATGGGACTGGCAAGAGCAAAAGCAAGGAAGTAAAAGCTCCCCTCCCCTTCCCCCCATTTCCTAACACAAACCTCCCCCAGGAGTTCTGCTGCCTCAACTCTTCCTCTGAACTGTGCCAGATCCCTGACTTTAAGTAAAATTCACAGATCCCAGGATTTGGGGCATGACTAAAAAAAAAAAAAAAAGAAAACCAGGACTAAATCTGAAGTATCTGAAGTAGGACCCGGGAGAAGCGCCCACCGTACTCACTATGGACAGCTTCTCTGTGGTGGTGTACCGGGCGAGGATTTCTCCTCGTCGGTTGGCCCATGGCTCAAAATCCGATCCTACAATGGAGCCGTCATCTCGATCCCGTTTCTTTCTGGAGTTGTCCTAAGGAAAGGCAAGACAACCTCGTCAGCGGCAATCTTTAGTCTTTTCATAAAATGTATAGGCAAGATGGTGGCCGTGGTTGGTAGCCCACGTATGATATATTGAAAGGTGCTGAGAGTAGGCTCTGTCCTGTCCTCCCCCCACAAGGGTAACTATGTGAGGTGACTGGCCATGTTCCTTATGCTCAATAGGGAAACCCCGCTGTAAATGCACGTCAAAGCATCTTACAGACTGCAATGCTGTCTGTCAAGCAAACGTCAATAAAACTAAGGAAAAAGTACACGCAGAAGGCACCGTGCACCGTAGAACACAGATCTCCAAACGTTTGCTGCGATCAGCTTTGCCCGCTGCTGTGACAAACGGCCCATAAACACACCCAGAGCCACCGAGGCTCAGAAAGAATTGAGCAAAGGCAAAATGGCTGGAAATTCGTCTTCAACAATCAGCACAGGAAAAGGTTGAAGCATCTGACAGTGCTCAGCCCGTGAGGCTGTAGGGAGAGGGGCCCTTGGAGGCCACTGGGTGGCATACAAACAAGCTGGTGGTTGTCCTCAAAGCGTTAAGTACCCACTGCCTGAAGCCAGCGATGAGCTCCTAGGAAGTTGTCCTACAGATCCTGGGGTATCTGCACCCAGAGATATGTGTGTTCAAGGGGCAAGACGCCACTGTCAACACTAGCAAGCACGAGAAACAATCTCCTATGTGTACATGGGTGGAGAAGTGGCAAGTTAAAGCACATACTACCCATTCTTTAGAACACAACAGCCGCTCCAGATAACAAGGCTATCCTGTGCGTACATGGAAAGTTCCCCCAAGATACAGTGCCCAGCTTGAAGTCAAAAAGTTGCAGAAGTATGATTTTAACAAGTAAATAGATGTCTGCAACAGCAACACAGAATGGCGGTAAGTGTGGATTCCCAAACCTCATTGCTTATTCATCGTGGCTCTTACTCAGCAACTCTACCGTCCCTGTCGCCTCCCTTGTTAAGGTTCCTAATACCTCTCTGACAAGAGAGCGTGAGAACTAAAATTGGAGTGCACTCAAAAAATGCCTGCCAAGGGCCCTCCCTGGGTGAAAGCGCTGTAGCACAAAGCTCTCCACAGACACTGTAGCACAAGTTTGATCCCCAGCCAGGGAGCTGACCCACATGGCCTGGCAGACCTCTCCCGCCCCACCTGCTGCTCCCCTCAGCAGTGTTCTTTATCAGTTTGCCTGTTCTGCTTCCCACTCTGTCTGGTGAATCCTCTCACCACCCCTGTACCTCTGGCCTGTACCCCAGTTCTGTATGCATAAATAAATAAATCTTTTTTTTTTTAACCAACACAGTTGGCTGGCACTGTTATTGTTGTTGATATGTATTATGAGTATGAATGCAAATGCTCACATTTGTCGATGGTATGTATGACATAAATGAAACCAATAAACAAAGGACAAGGCTATAGAAGAATCCAGATTATGCGGAGAACAGAGTAAAGAGAAATGCTCACAAGGACATCATCTGCAATATCTAATTCTTTTACAGGAAGAATTAGTGATTACTTGTGCAGTGTCATAAAAATAAGTCCGAAAGGGCCCTCCCTGGTGGCGCAGCGGGTTAAAGCACAGCACTGAGAAGCTAAAGCCACTTCCGCATGAGTTCGATTCCCGCCTGCCCCGGTGGAGGCCACATGGCGTGGCAGACCTCTCCTGACCCGCCCGCTGCTCCCCTCAGCAGTGTACTTCGTCGATCTGCCTGTTCTGCTCCCCACTGTCTCTGGTGAATCCTCTCACTCTCCGCATCTCTGGCTTGTACCCCAGTTCTATGTGAATAAATAAATAAATCTTTAAAAAATAATAATAAGTCCCAAAGAAAGAATTCTAACAAGAGTGAAATTAAAATGAAGAATGTATTCTTGGATACTTAAAATAATCGGAAGAAGCTTCTGGGCTCTGCACCAGCCTCTCATGGGCTGCCCTCCCCCCCATACGCAGTATCCTACGAACATCTGGATTGTCTGAATTGTTACCACCACCATGCACTCTGGTGCAATTTAAAACCAGAAAGATGTAAACACCCATCCCTGTTCCTGGGGGATCGATCTCCAGCTGGACCACGCAGGCAAGTTACCATGACAGCTGCTGTGGCTGCAGGGTCGGCCGTGGCTGCAAACATGGACAGGGGGTCAGTCCCATCTAGGACGCTGCTCAGCGGGTCCACCACAGAGCTGGAGGACGAGGAGGATGTGGACGAAGTGCTTCCTTTCCGGCTCACTTTCTTTGTCTTTGACTCCGTGACCTGTGGGGGATTTATGGAGGGAAAATGCAATTGTTTTCCCAGAGAAGCACTTTTGTTTACACCTTCACATCAGCAACAAAGACATCCCATAGCCCTGACAAGCTCACTAACAGGTAAAAGTGGAAGGAGCGAGCTGGGGGATTTCAGTACACCAAAGCAGCCTCAAGGGTGAGAGGGAAATCGCCCAGGAATTTTAGGGGAAAAGAATCTCACCCTTGACAAAACTTACAGTTATGGGCTTCAGGGGGTGATAGTCCCCGAATTCCAGTGGAACAGCCTCCAACCGGCATGAAGCAAATTCTGCCTTGTAGTTCCTGTTTCTGGAATGCCTGGGGAACAGCAAGACCCAGACACCAATCAGCTCATGGAGATACTATCACATGTGACTTACCCAATGACCAGTTGTTTATAAATGAACACTATTTCTACCAAAAGCAAGGAAAAAATGCTAAATAAAAAGAACATTTTAAATCTGTTTCTGAGATATAGGGGAGAGTTCATTCACACCCCAAATAATTCACCACCACAGAGCACCCACGTGACAGGAAGCTGAAGCTCCTCACTGTTTAGTCCTCCGATCACAGGAGCCCTGACAGGCCCGTCCACCTTGGCATATACATCCCCTTGAGGAGCTCCTATTCATACTCCAAAACCCAACTGACGCATTCTCCGAGTACCACAGGGAGGCTGATCTTCCTTACTGCCGCGTCCAAATGCCATTTCTGAACATCCTACTAATCTGTGCGCCTGCTCCATCAGGCTATCAGCTCCCTGAGGCCAGAGTATGTCGAGGGCTCAGGGTAGAGGGCCTAGCACAGAGCAGGCCGAATGGCGACCATGTTACAGATGAGAAGAAGCAGGGGCACTGAGTAGCTCAGGAAAGCCGTTCTCCGGAATCGTCCAGACTCAGGGCTCACTCCCCCATTCTCTGCACACAGAACCCCAGATCCCGCGCCAACATCCCCCCCGAAGAACGGAACCGGGAACAGGAGTTTTATTTAGGAATGAAAGGGGAGGGGGCGTGGAAGGCACCGTGAAGGGGTTGCTGGGGAGAGAGCCAAGCGCCCATCTGCCAAGAGGGGGGAGCCCCTCTGGGCCTGGACAGCAGCGCGGGGTCCACTGGCCATACGCCTCGGAGTGCGATGGGGACCTCGACCAGATCCCAAGAGAGCCGTGCACACTCACACACCCCCAGTCGCGGAGAGGGAGACCCCCGGGACGACTAAGAACTGCCCCTCCCAGGGCGCCCGCCGATTCTGTCTTACCAGGGGAAGGCGGCCATCTTCGCAGTCACATGACCGAAGTCAGGGCCCGCCCGGCCCCGCCCCCACGCCCCAGGCCCCGCCCCGCCCCTACGTCACTGCCAGTCCCTCCGCCATGACTGTGCGGGGCAGCGCGGAAGGCGAGCGTGACGCTGGACGGTGCGGGGCGGCGGAGCTCCGGGGCCCCCCTGGCCTCGCCGGAGACCTGGCCGCCTGTCAAAGGGAGCGGTGGCTCTGGGCCTCGCGGGGGTTCGCCACCCACTCGCGCCCCCCTGGGCCAGGCACGTGCCGCGTCCCCCTCCCTGGTCCCCTCTTACTGGACCTAAACCGGGCGAGGAGGCCCTTTCACCCCCTGGACACAGCCTGGCGTTTCCGCGAAGGTCTGCTCTCCTTTGGATTGCAGAATGTGGGCCGTAGCGTTGCTCTTGTAAAACAGAACTCAGTACATTTTCTTAACAGCTACCACTCACTAAATGCTTACTGGGTATGGGGGCCTGGGCTGAGCACTTTGCATCGACATTTCATTTTCTTCTCACTGCTAAACTTTAAATACATGATCACTTGTCACTAAGCAACTGAAGGTTTAAGCGCCCTAGTCAGAACTAACCCTGATTCCCAAGCCAGTGACTATTAGTTTAAGACTGTTACTTGATCACAAGGCAGCACCAGATACTGACTTTTGTCTTTCCAAAGAGTTCAGGAAGGCACCTTTTTGGGAAAAGCCTGGAAAAGCCATGGATTGCACTCAACCCTCTGGTAGAATGAGGGTCTAGCGCCGGATCCTAGTTTCTTCACTTATGAAATTAGTTGAAGTGATGATTATAAAATGCCTGGCAATCGGCCAGCATTCTGCAGGGCATTAGGCCACAGACTGGCGCTGTGATTTTGCGGTTTTCACAACTTTTCATGGCAACATACTCTGCATCACACAGCGGTGCTTCTCACCTGGAGGTGTTCAAGTGCAAGGTATTTCAGGCCGAAGAGTCAGGGAGCCTGGGCTTCTGCATTTCTGACAGGTTCCCAAGGGGCCCAGCTGCTAGTTCCATGGGTTACAGACAGGACTATAGGAATTGTGGGTGGTGGAGGGGCCCAAGGGTGCTCCTGAACATATCCAGCCATAATCACTGGACCCTTGGTACTTCTCAGGCCTCGGACAGATCATGACTTAATCCTGATGCCGGTCACTAGAATTTATACAAGTGTGGGCAAGGGGTGTTCCAGACACAGGAGAAGCAAAGCCACATCTCAACCGCCTTGAGAAGCTGAAGAGTTGAAAGCCATAGAGAAACTGACCCAAAAGGAAAGAGAACATACTAAATTTTAAAAAGGCAACATTTTATTGTCAGTTATAATTCTGGTTAGACAATTTTGCCCTCAGAACTGTCTTGATCTTTTTTTTTTTTTTTTTTTTTTTTTTCTCCTGTTCTGTTTAGTCGTAAGAGCTGGACTCAGAGCTGTGCAAATTAGCAGCTTGGGCAGTTCACCCTTAGCATTCTCTCTCCTCCCCTGCGCCACACACTTTCAGCTGTTGATAAGCTAAGACATTTCCAGCTCTACCAAACTTCTGCCCTCTGAAAAGTCCAACTCATGATACTGGGCTCAGTCCTGGCAGAGGGGACATATTGAATAGTGGGGTATACACTTCATGGGAGTCTTAATGTTTCCTGTTTGGGCCAGATACTTTTCAAGGTCTATTCCTCAGCCATCCTTATCATTGGTAAGCACAAAAGATGAAACCAGATTTTCTTTAAGATGAAAAGTTTATTTCTCCTTCCATCTAGAAGCAAACTAGTGAAAATTAAAGTATAAAAATAAATACAATTTACATCAATGGAAATTCCACTCAAAATAAAAATAACAAAAATAATGCATATAAATAAAAATTCACTGAAAGCACAAAACAATGTCTGGCACTTATGAGAAAAGGCTGAGAACATTAAAAAATATGTAAAACACAAAAACTTTGTTATTTTTAAATTTAAAAAACACTCAAGTTTCTCATTCTTAATCTGAAACTAGGTCTAACTTTATCTAAAACATACCATTTGTTTTAGCCTATCTGCATTAGTGTACACAGAAGTCTATCTTTCATACTGGAAAAACCCACTATGACATGAGTAAGCTGCATCCTGAGTTTTCAGAATGATCAAGCACAACGTGTCATATTAACAAGATAACTGAGATACTTTGCCTACAAACACAAAAACTGGCAACACAATTTTCACCATCTTCTAATTTTCTGGTTCATTCATTCCGTAATTGATGCTTCTTAACAAAGAAAATCAAGTTTATACCCAGAGTAGATTATTATCTTGTCTACAGCTGGATGTAAAAGTTAAATTTTAAATGAGTGATCTATCCCTAAAGTCACAAAAGGATATTAAGAATATATACAGTCTGCATTTTCAAAATACCAGTATTTGTTTTAAATTCAAGTTAGAAAGAGTAAATGCACACAGTCCCAATTTTATGTGAGAAGCACAAAGCCCTTTTTGGAATTGCTGTGATAAATGAACAGTGACATTCTCTTTTATAAAATCATATTTCCTTGGTAACATTTTAAAAAATAAACATGTCAGTGATAACATCAGTGCCTCTTAAGTAATTCAGAATTTCAACTAAACAATATTATCCCAATTTGGAAATCTGAATTTATGGTATTATATAGCCCTTTATCTTCTCCTAAATCAAGCATGCCAGAAAAAGTAGACTATGATGAAACAAAATTATACAGACAAAATAGAAAACATAACAGCATGCAACATGTTACTGATTACAGCACTGGATGTAAAGATGCATTCCTATTCCATCCTGTTACATTCACAGAGATTGTGCTGTCTCCCCCATTTGCTACCCTCCAATCTAGTAGAAATATTTCTAAGAGTCCCCAGAAATATTTCTAAGATTTCGTTTACACTTCTGTAAACCAATAAGTTGGTAGGAGGAATGTACACTTGCAACCGTAATGGTGACCCCCAGATACTTCTGTGGTAAATTTTAGGTGGATCACAATCAGCAGGCAGTGCTTTATCCTCTGTGGTCATACTATTAACTCCAAGAACATGAAGATGAGAGAATAACCAGTTTTTCAAGTTATAAAACGAGGAGAAAACATTCTTCAGCAGTAATCTCCCCTTGAGTAGAATAGTATCTAATTTGTTTCTCAAATTCACCAGAGGTTGAAAACCGTATTTCAGAATTTATTTATAATTCAACATATCTTTTCAATGTTTTATAGAACCCCAAATGTTCCTCAAATTTACAAAAAGTTTCTCTGCAGATATCTGGGTACATTAAACAAACTTGTATAGGTTTAGCATGGAGATGAATCAATGACTGATACTAACTCTCTTTACCCAAAAATGGGATGTGTGGAAGGCGTCAGCCACTCTCAGCCAAACAGCCAGAGAACTGCTCAGTCCTCTGACTTCACCCATGGAACAGCCCACAGTTAAAGTCTTGGGCAGGACAAACACGCACGATACACACCCCCAACCTTTTATCCTAATGAATGTTGTCTTCTTAAATTGTCGCAACATTTGGCCGCTTTCTTTGGGTTTTTCCTGCATATACTCCTAAAAATAGAGCACAGTTAGCATTAATTTTTAATGTCAGTTTTCCTATGACACTGTTTAATAAGTGCTTACCAGGCCCTAAGGTTAGCAATATACATGATTATATTTAATCCTCAGATAAAGTAGTCCTCAGGGAAACACTGTTACAACTGTTTTACGAATAATAAAACAAAGACATAGCAAAGCTAGTCACCTGCCTAAGGGAAGACAGTAAGAAGCAGAGACTCTGGGAAGCCAATTCCACTCAGTTTTACTTAACTATTTCACTTGCTACTTTGCTTTAATTAGTACTTTCTAAATTTCACTATAATTTGAGTCAAGCACAAAATATCAAAGGAGCAAACTCATTTTAAAACATGTGAGATCCAAAATTGGAATGCAGTTTATAAAACTATAAACAATTTTAAATGCTCTGTAATTGTTAATACCTTAGAATTTACTTCAGTATCAGAGTATGATACTCTATCATAATAAAAATGAGCTTTCTGTAAATTGCTTAATAAAGGGTTTGTTCCCATGTATGTCAAATCAAAGCATTTTTTTTTTAAGCATAATTTTTGAAATACAATCCAAACCACTGACAATCTAAGCAAGAAAGAGTTATCTCTCAAGAGCAACTATGGACCTCTCCCTATGTTAAGACTACAGAATTTTAATCAGTCACATCCCAATGTCTCAGCTTATATTAAAACATAAAATTCTTAAGGTTTTTTTTTTTCCAATTGTCTAGATATGCACCTATATATTGATAAATCTTTAGGAAAACTTTGTTGTACTCCTTTACAATATAAACTGATTTTATGTGTCATTTCAAGTTTTCAGTTCATTTGTATAGTAATTATGTTCCAATGCAATTAAACTGCAACAGCTCTAAGTAAATGGCTTACAGTCATGAACTCCATTATTATGGACTGCACAGATTTCTTGTGCATCCTTTATACTGTTGAGTATTATCGCCGACTAGAAACAGTGGTTGCTATTTTGCTTATAGATTCACAGGGACAGAGTGGAGATGAAATGTATGAGAGAAGAACATGGAGGCAAGTAGGTAAGCGTGTGGCAGAGCAGCTCCAGCTCCTCAGTAATACACCAGCTGACTAGGGCTTGTCAAACATCTAACACTAACACAGGGAAAGCGTGAATGTCTTAAACTTGCACATAACCTCACAAGCCACTGACCAGGTATTTGGTCTGAGTTCTCCCATCAGCTCTCAACCCCGCAGATCTGACTACCTCTGGCAAAAGCATTCCCATGAGGCCACTCCTGTAGCTGGCACTCACAGTAGCTTCCAGAAGATGACCGTTTGTGTGGTCCTCCATGTACGGACATTTTTGTGGACACACGCAAAGGGTCAGCAAACATTTCCAAGTTAGGAGCAATACCTCCTCCCCTCTTTCAACCTCGGTGAACAAATGGTGATAGCATCAAGAATGTTCGCAGTTGCTTGTTCCCTTCTACTTTGGAGGAAATCACTTAGTGATAAAGTTCTAGAATATTAATGGGAAGGTTAGAATTGATTAAAGATTTATTCTCCACCATCTGGTGATTAATGTCTTTTAAATGTTTAGAGAATATAGTTAAAGCAAAGCATTTTGAAAGTACTTAATGGATCACATAACTTTTAGCAAGCTGATCAGTGTCTTAACAAAATATCTAAAAAAAAATGAAATATTAGCTTAAGGGTTTTGCATTAGCTCAACACTGAATTTGTCTTCTTGCCACCATAAATAGAATTTGAAAACACAATTTTCAGTTTAGCTCTGCAATATTCCTCAAATGATGAACATAAAGAAGGATTTGGCTCAAGTCTTATTGAGCAAAAGATTAATAAAGAAAAAAAGAAAACAAAATTTGCCCCCCCCCCGCCTCCCACCTGGCATATTCACATGTGATCTTGTGGTCAGAGGGGGGAATTTTTCATCCCTTTACGTGCAGATACAAAAATTGCCGGTGAGGCACTTCCCCAAGCTGAACAGACAGGCAGGCTGCGGCATCGGGTCATTATACTTTACTCACTTACAGCAAGGTTTTCTGAATTAGCCCATGTCATGCTACACGTTTCAGCTTAACAAATACAGTGTTTCCGTGAAACTGGCACAGAAATCCAAAGTGGGACCCGTTTTCCTAAGACCTCCTGACTGCACAAAACACGACCGCCACCGACCACGAGCAGCGCGACTGTGAATATGCAGATGTTATGGTGGCAAGGACAGGCAACCGCGCCCACCGTGGTCAGCAGGGGCAGCTCGTGCAGGACCGGCCAGTGAGCGGCGTCAGGGACTCACGCTACACACCTGCAACAGGCGCTCTGCTAGGCACTCTGCTCTGTGAAGACTTCTGTCTATTGTGCACAACCCCCTTCACTGATGTCTTAGGGGTTCTAATTGAATATAAAAAAATTAAGAAGTCACTTTCATTAAGGTCTAATGTTCAACATTCAAAGAAAGCAACCATTGGCATCCACTGTTCAAAGTGCAAATAAGCTTGAAAAGACTCTCAGTCCCATGCAAGCTGTGCTCTTCCTTCCACGAGAGACTATAGCCACGGCTCACGCTGTCTTGGAATCACTTGGGTGATGCTGAACTGACTATATGGATGTTTACAATGTTTAATGGATAAAATGGTATGAAATGAAAAGTAAAATCAAAAGTAAAACAAGCCAACATGAGATGACATTTAAAATATAATACACAACAGTACAGCAAAGGTTGATCTTTCAACAAAAACGTCAGAGTCTTGCTAGTGCTACAAAACATCGCATTTGAAAAAGATACCCTTTAAATTAAGTAAAAGAACACTGAATTATTTTTCCCTCAAGCTCATCTTGATTTCAACATTTTTATATGCCCAAGGTGTGGCATTCTTCTTACCCTTGTCTACTAAGAAGCCTGTGAACAGGTGCGTTCTGTCCTTGGTTTGGCTGAAGGACTCTGTTGGTAAAGCAAATAAAAAATTAATCTGAAAGAATGAGTTCCATTTTCCCCATTTTCTTGCAATTGTGAGAAGTGACAGCAGGGAGCGACACGGCAATGCACTGGCACGGCCTGTGGCCGCCAGCACAACAAACTGACGGAGGCACATTAACATGGCATTTATATTTTGCTCACCGCAAACCCAGATCTGAGGAATTTAGCAGAAAAGAGATGTCCAACATAGTATTAATCTTTGTGCTTTTAAAGAGTTTCTTTATGTGCTTTATAAAAGCCAACATTTCCTTTCAAACATCTGAGAAAAGAAACACTGCTCTTGGAAGGGCAGAAAACAGGTCAGAAACACGGGACTGGCTTCTAAGTTTTTAGGAAGCATCAGAATCCCTGGACTGTCGCATGAACTCAGGACACGGGGACACAAGTTTCTGCCAGAGGCGGCATGTCCTACACCTGGTCTATCTGTGACAGAGCACACGGCCAGTGTTAACGTGGACCCTGCCCCGGAGACCCTCAACTCAGCAGTGTGTCCCACTGCGGTAAAATAGAACAAAGTCAAGAAAAGGCTTGCAGTTCCCAAAGTTTTCTTCAACAATAAAAACAGCTTCTCACTAAAGTTAAGTAATTGTTCTCACCTTGCTTCAGAAGGATTTTGTTTAACCAGAAATTTCTTATTAGGCATTCCCATTTCAGCAGCTCTGACACAATGCAAAAACAAGGACACAATGTTTAGAAAGGGGAAAAAACATGCTTACAAATGTGACAGACGAGGACAGTAAGAAATCATCAAAAAGTAGGGCTACTCTGGGAGACCTGGAGTAGACTGCCTTCAAGAAAGAAGAGTTCTAATAAGGAACTGATTAGGATATTCTTTGTACTAAATTTTCAGGATATTAGACAAAATACACATTTAAAAGATACAAAATTAACACTGTGACATAGGATTAACTATCATTAAGATTATTTGGTTATTAATTGTACAAGCTTAATAGCTAACACACTGGTCTAAAAATAAACTTGAAATTTACCAGATTTTAATAAAATTCCTTGTAAAAAAGGAAAAATAGGTGAAGAGAGTCTAAAGTTCAAAAGAAAAGTAAATAAAAACAAAATCTCTTATCAGCTCAGCTACAGAAAATTAATTTCTTTATTTCCAATTTCAATAAAACTTACTTCATGAACTTCTTCCTATCAAGAGACTTCTGTGTTGCAGCTGAAAGGGCTATGCGTGGACTCTTCATTTTATCCTTTGAAATACAAAAGCAACACAAAGCCATAGCGCCACCGATCCCGCAAAGAATGTTCTCACACTCCATGGAGAAGTTTGCTCTCAGTGGCATCCTGAACTTTCATTTAGTCCTTCCTTGTATTAAAACATTCCAGTTTTTGAAAGCTAACATCCTTTTTTCCCAATGAAATAATATGAAATTTGCTTCTTTTTCTTTCACCAACCACACTAAGATCACTGATTCAAACCACAGATCTCCAGCCCTCTGGTATGTTTCAAATTAAAGTGGAGCCTGTCTCTGACTTCCCACACAGGAGGCAGTCTCGGGGATGCCTTGACTTGTGGATCTGATGCTAGATAGCATCAGTGCTCAATTGAATAGTAAGACGCCCAGCTGCTATGGGGAAACATCCAAGAGCTGGTGTTGGAAGTGTGTTGCGAGTGAAGTATGTTGAAAAATGACATCCATTGAAAAATGACACGTTACATACCATTTGTCTGAGCATTTTCTCTTTGCGAACTTCTCGATCATGATGCAGAATAGACATCCTTTCAGCTGCATCCATGACAAAGAATATGTCATGAATACCGTACAGGGCCGCTCGCAACTGGGTTCAAAAGAACAAAAGATTGTAACATTCTCAAAAGATGAGGTTCACTGAAAATGGCATATGCTTTTATTTAGAAAAAAGGATTCACGTTTTCACTGAAATCAATGTTCTGTGCTTAAATGAAGGGAAATAAGCAGAACATCTCCTTCTCCTAGAAGGCCCCAGGACGAGTCTGTTTACCTGTGCTAAGACTCTTTCCTGCAGAGAAGCATCCTGTGCTGAAACAGTGCCTCTCTTTAACGGCGCTTCCGACTGAAAACTTCTTATGAATTCCATGGTATCCTGAAAGAAGAAAGTTGCCTTCAAAAATCATTTTTCTAGAAGGGTGCAAAATCACTGAAGTTTCTTTTGCTCTTTTCTCCATCAATCCAGAATTACTGAGAACAGAAAACTATTATCAAAAGCCAAGCAGTACTCATTTTAAAGTGAAACAGAAATACATATACTTAACTTACATGTTTTTAAAAATAATCTGAATCAGCTGAAAGACATCTAAAGTTGCCTACAGTGACTAAAAATGATTGTCAGTTCAGCTATCACAAGATGAGAGAACCTGAGAGAAATGAAATACAGTGATTTACAACAATCTTCTTACTTTCACTGTTTGTCGAAGCTGCTTCAGTTTATCTGTCTGCATCAGTCTCCGAGTAAGAAATCCTTTTGCCACTGCTGTTATTTTATTAAACTTTGCTTGGACTTCTGGACTGAAAATCTACAAGCAATGAGACAGACACAATGTTTAAAGAATCTGAGCATTTATACTCAAGATGACTTTTCTAACATATTGCAATGAACTAAAATCATTACTTGGGCCCTCCCTGGTGGCGCAGCGGGTTAAAGCGCAGCACTAGGAA